TCAGCTCTTGATACTGGTGATGGCTCGAAAGGGCCACCACTTACGAGCTATTCATGCCCGTGCCATCTTTTGGGTGGCTTCATCTTCATCTTCTTCATCTGTTTAAAACACGGGAGACATCTCCCGTCACGCAGGGTGCAGTCGCACCTTCACAGATCTCCAGTATCATTTTTTTTTTTTTGAGATATATACAAGAGTTGTTACATTCTTGTACAGCCACTAGTACGCGTAGCGTTTCGGGCAGGTCCCTGGAATACGATCCCCGCCGCGAAGAATCGTTGTTACAACCAAGTACACATTTTACTGTTGCGTTAAACAGAGGCTACAGTTAAGGAATTGCGCCCAGTAAATCCTCCCCGGCCAGGATACGAACCCATGACATAGCGCTCGCGGAACGCCAGGCGAGTGTCTTACCACTACACCACGGAGACTAAAGTATCATCTATTGATACTGGAAATGGCTCAAAAGGGCCACCACTTATGGACTATTCATGCCCATGCCACCTTTTGGGTGGCTTAATCTTCTCTCTCTCTCTCAATTGGGTCCCGGTAGTGCAGTCGGGTTCGTTCACGACGCACAATCGAGAATTCTGAGTTCGAATCCCGGGTGGGACAGAAATGGTTGGGCACATTTCCTTTCACCTAGCAGTGAGAAGGTATAGTCAGGAGTTAGTCACTTTGTTGTGGGGTTTCATTCTGGGCGGGTTCAGTAATTCGGCCTTTGGTGGGGGGGAACCTCGATATAAGCCAAAACGTGTATGAATACACTCTGGCTTCCTGTCCCCTGATAAAAGTAAATTATCATATACATTTTTTCTGTCCTCCATGGACCGGGTTGGAGATCTGTTAAACCATCTAGTTCAGTGATTAATTGAACAATCAACCACAGAAGGTGATTGTAGTGCTTTTAAATTGCTAATCTAATACATAAATCACGTCGGACAGACGTAAATATCCCGTAGTCATTGATATATAGAGAAGAATTGACAGGTGGTATTCCTCTAGTATAGCAATTTATACACTGAAATTTAGAAGAAATTTAAACTTATAATCAACCACAAACTCAATCCGTTACCATCTTGGGAAGATATAATTAGTAATACTCCAAAACTAATAGCATTCCTTCTTAGAAAAATTACCTCTCGCCCAATATTCGTAAATAAACAGTTATTGTCACAGTGGCCTCTTGGTAGGATGGCAGCGTGCACCCGGGGGCGCGCACAACCCAAACTGTCGTACTGCACTGGCGCTCATTTCCATTTCCCAAACCAAGTTGTTGTTGTTGTTGTTAAAGATTCGGTACCTGGAACAAAAAGTTCCACGTAGCACGGGCTATGGTGAGCCCGTAGCCAAACCAAGATATACAGTATTTATATTGTACATATGTATATATTTCTCTGAATTGATGACCATGTCAAGGATGAAGGATAATATGCGAACATAGGAAGTATTGTTTGACAACAAAATATTAATATGTAATTTGAACGAATATATCTTACTTCAGAGTCAATGACAATTATACCAAGTATAATTCAAGAGTGAATATATCCGCTCACCAAAGTTCTAAATGAATTATTTGTAAACAAATCACGAACAAAAGAAATTGAAGATTTCTATACACAGAAGTATAGAAATGATTTTTATTAATTGATTTCACATCTAGAAAATAAAAAATTATCACCATATTTGTAATTGTTATTGAAATGCCAAGAGTTTAGATATAGTCATTACAGGTAACAAGTAATTATCAAAGAAGGCATTACAGGTAACAAGAGTGAGATCCTTACAGAGCAAAGTAAGTAATTATCAAAGGCACCAAGCCGGGAAGGCTATGTAGCACCATTTAAAGAGCAAAACCTTTCCTCACCGCCACACACACAAAAAAAGATAGCGCAGTAGTCTACGTTCTCGGCTCACAACCAAAGATCATAGGTTCGATTCCCAGACGGGACAAAGACGGTTGAGTACATTTCTTTTTATCTAATATGTCTATTCATCTAGCAGTAAACAGATTCCCGGGAACTAGGCAACTGTTGTGGGTTGCTTCCTGAGAAAGGTCATCAGTACTATAAGCCCAACAGGCTTCCAAGTTATCTTTCAGCAACTGGAGAAGCCAAGATCAAGACTAATTATACTCAGTGACGGCACTTCAGCTCACCAGCAGAAGTCATCTTTGACCCTGGCGTGAATTATCACGTTAAATTAAATAAAGACATGTTGAAATTTGGACAGATGGGACTACAGTGTCCTGGACGAGTAGACTCGTGGAGTTCAAGAATAAACTTTACCACTCAGCTACAACTCTCCTCTTTTCTGAGCTGATTTCGTGCGGTTGAGAGGAGGAGGAGTGAAGGAGATGGAGAGGAGTACGTAGAGAGGAAACGAGGAAGGAAGAAAGGGGTGGAGGAGAGGGAAAGAAAATGGGAAGAAGGATGCGAGGAAGAGGTGGTGGGGGAGATAGGAGGCGGGGAAATTGAGGCAGCAGCGCGGAAGACGCGTAGAAGAGGGTGCATGGGAGAGAGGAATGAGGCGTGGGGAAAGGAGGTCAAGGAGTAGAAGAGGAGGAAGCTGGAGAGATGAGGAAGATGGGGAAGCGTGGAGGAGTTGGAAGTGTTGGAGAGGGTGGGGACCGGACCTTGGAGCACCCCGTCCCGGAGCCCGTCTGGCACACCGCGGGACTGACACAATACCCACGACGAGGGACCAAGGTGCAAAGTTGTAAATTGAATTTCCGCTTCCACGGGGTTCCCATTCCTGCCAAACCCGACCCCCTTCTTTCAACACATGAAACAGTGGCCAATTCTTCTTCTCCCTTCCGTTCTTTATTTTCTTATTATTATTTCCCCATTTCCTACCTTTTTTTTTAATCTGTGGGTAGCCTTGCCACCCGTGGGTGGGTAGCCATCTTCTCAAGCTCGTTCACTTTCGATAAAAAAATATTCCCCCAAAATTGAAATTTATGGTTATAAATTTTCCACGTGAGTGACTCGTGGTCAGTGGGCGCCCTGGTGAGCTGGTCGATTTAATATAAAAATAATAATAATTTATTTTTGTTGGGGGACAGGAATCCTGTTTATATACACATACTTTAAGCTTGTATCGAGGTCCCCCAAAGGTCGAACTACTGATGCTCCCCAGGATGCAGCCCCACAACAGTTGCCTAACTCCCGGGTATCTGTTTACTGCTGGACGAACAGCACCATTAGGCGAAAGGAAACATGCCCAACTATTTGTCCCCACATGAACATCGAGCCCGGTATTCCCGATTGTGAGTCGAGAACGAAGCTAATTATACTACAAGACCCCAAAATAATGGTCGATTGTCACAATGGTTAACTAGTACCATGGTAGTGACATTTTCTTTCTCAAATAGAGAGAAAGATCTGGGGGTTGATATCACACCGAACTTTTACCCAGAGGCCTACATCAAAAGATATCATCAGCGGCATATGCTAGACTGGCCAACATAAGAACTGACTTTAGAAACTTGTGTAAAGAATTGTTCAGGACCTTGTATACCACTTATGTCAGACCAATCCTGGAGTATGCAGTTCCAGCCTGGAGTCCATACCTAGTAAAGCACAGGACTACACTTGAGAAGATTCATAAGTATGCCACCAGACAAATATCAGAACTGAGAGGTATGAGCTATGAGGAAAGGATACGGGAGCAAAACCTCTTGTCGCTGGAAGACAGAAGAGTAAGGGAAGACATAACCACCTACAAAATTCTCAAGGGAAAATGACAGGGTAGACAAAGACAAACTATTTAGCACGGGTGGAACACGAACAAGGGAACACAGGTGGAAACTTAGTGCCCAAATGAGCCACAGAGACATTTAAATAATTTTTTCAGTGTCAGAGTAGTTAATAGATGGAATGTACTAGGCATTGATGTGGTGGAGGCAGACTCCATACACATTTTAAAATGTAGATTTGAATCTGTACACCAGCTGATTGACAGTTGAGAGGCTGGACCAAAGAGCCAAAGCTCAAGCCCTGCAAGCACAACTAGGTGAGTACATGACGGTTAACTAGCACCATGGTAAAGTGACACGAGGGCCAAATGACAATATTTTAATTACATGATAATTTAGGTGACATCCGGATCGATACCACAATAGTTGACAGACGACAGGAGGGTCGTTTGAAGATTTTTTAATGACACTTAGGCTGTGTCAAGGCTGGACAAGCGCCATAATTCAGCCTACACCATGATTGTGTTAATTGTCGCCAGCAATGTTCAGCTCCATACTCAACTTGTGAGCGGTAGTTTATTGTGCAACCCATGCTCATGCTGTGAGCAGTAGTTTATTGTGCACTCCATATTCATCCTCTGGCAGTAAACTACTGCTCACAGCACAAGTATGGGGTACAATAAACTACCACTCACAGGATGAATATGGGATACAATAAACTATTGTGCACCCCATACTCATCCTGTGAGCAGTAGTTTATTGTGCACCCCATACTCATCCTGTGAGCGGCAAATAAGTTGGGCTGTCCAAGAACCTTTAACATTCTTTTCCTGTACCAGTGCTGTACTGCATTGTTTTCCTATTTCTTCAGGGCCAGTATCTTTCTACCAAATGAAATAGGGTAATAATAATAATGCTTGAACAAATATTAAACATAAAAAGAAACTTAAAATTTACAAATGGGGAAAATCTCAGGAATAATGATGGGTGGACCTTTGACAAGCCGCTAGCTTCCTGTCTTGGTCGAGGCCACTAGAGATGGTGGTCCTCGGGGCTACCAAACCTGATCGAGGCCACTAAAGATGGTGGCACTTAGGGATGCCTATCCTGGTCGAGGCCAGGTCACTGGAGATGGTGGCCGTCAGGGCTTCTATCCTGGTTGAGTCCATTAGAGATCGTAGCCCTCGGATAAGATTTGTAGCAGCAAAAGATGGCTTCTCTTTAAAGGCACTACACAAGCATTTTTGCTTCTTCTGTGTAAAATATATCAACCTTCTTAAGACAAAAATGTAAATAAATTATATTCGAGACATGGAATTTTATTAAACAAAATCACTAAATAGACGAGAAAGTAATAAAATTTACCTCTTCAGAAAAAATATCCCATTCAGTCTACTGATATTTTTGTTGAGGGCTGTAGAGTACTGTACATTCTTCATATCCCTTCAAGAGTAGAATACCATAAATTTGTACCCCAATTGAACAAGCCTGTGAAATTAAACTACACAAAAAATAAACATACCTGCACAGTGCAACGTACAACATACAGCACTTTGCTAGGTACACAATTTATAGTATAGAAAGAATAACAAGTTCATAATGTTCTATATTACTGAAAATACAAACAAAAAAATAATCTATACATACAGTACATTATAATAAAACAGTTCCTCATATGCAGAAACAGCATTACTGTACATAATACAGTACAGTACAGCAATCTTAGCTTGCAACTGAAATCTCTGGGGTGAGAGTTATGAGCGTGTTAGAGGCTTCTGCAAGCTCAGCAATGGAAACTCTGCCACGCTGTCTGATAAACTTGGCCACACCCTCAAGTTCTTCTTTGCTTATGTAAATGAATTTACCTCGGTCATCAATCACACCTGCAATGGATGAAAAAATATTAATGTCAAGACAAAATGCAACGCACTGAAAACTACACTGCACAGTATACATGTATAAAATGGCATCAAGCAACCATATTTACACAACATCTTCAAGCTGATTCTATTCCTCGTATGCACTAATTGCCATTACTATGCCATCTGCTCAAAGAAAAAATTCATTTATTTTAACCTGCTCTGTAACCCTATACAGGTACCTGATATACCTGATCAACTCTGCAGTCCCACATAATACACACGCCCCTTTTCCCATCTCATTTTATTAATAAAATGTCAATTTCTTTACAAATTCATTTCAATAACCTGAAATAATGGTGGTGCCTACAAAATTTTAGCCTCAATATATTGATCCCTTTAAGACATTGATTTAAATATTGACCATCAACCTAAAATTTAGATTTTTGGTTATTTAGGTCAAGTTTCTTGATTGGCCACAGTGAAATCTTAATTATTACATATATTTTTCCCTTATTTTTGATAATAGGCTTTTGTTTATAAATCTTTTATTAAACTTATACAGTAGTACTGTATAATTGATACAATACTGTTTATAGTATTTTCTGAGAATAGTCCAATGCTACCACACTGAACACATTCCCACCATGTGATCTTTTTCCTAATTGCTGGTGGTATTTAGTAAATGGTTTTTATTAATTTGTATTTTATATTAATCCTTTGAGAGCAAACAATGTCTGCCACAAGAGTAGTCTGGCAAGAATAGGCAGGGGCAAGAGAGGCATCATCAATAATAACAAAGAGTTATTATTGATGTGGGAAAGTGACAGAGGCTGGGAGTGAAGAGACTGCCAGTGAGGTGTGAAAGGTTAGGAATTATTCTTTATATATTAAATTATTTTAGCATAATTTTTTTTTTACCAGCATCAAAAGTAGTCTGGTTATATCATGCAGGAGCAATAAGAGGCATTATAATATGGAGAAAAGACAAAAAGAATATCATCACTCCCCAACCAGTGATCGTGGCAGGGAAGTGATGATGCTGGCAGATAAAATTTGTATCTGCACCTGAAGCCCTGCTCACAAAGAATACCCAGGGGAGACAGTGCAAGTGCAAAGACTGAGACAAAAATTTTTAAGTGGCTTAAATATTAATGAGCTACATCAATCAGTTTACAAATACAGCATACAACTATACAGTACTCTTGTTACCCACAACATTAATGTGCTTTCATTAAGTAGAAATAAAGTTTATCAGATTCTTTTTATTATTATATCCAAGCCATTGTTTATACAGCATATATTATTTGTGTTTAAATATGCCACACCTAATCAATAAAGGTCAAATACAGAACTGTATTCAGAAATGCTAATTTTGAAACCAGACATGACAAAGACTTGAACTTGAGAAAAGCACCAGGTACAACAAGGCCAGTAGACAGTGCACAAAGAGCAAGACAGCTCTCCCAGTCATTACTAAGTAAGCACAATGTTAGAGATAGCATGAATTGAGTGTGTGGACAGTGGCCATATAGGAATAGATACAGGTGAAAACACTGTTTAGAAAGTGAATTTGAATTGTTTAGAAGACAAATCAAGTTAAGAACTCTTTACTTATATGTATGATGTGGTGGGGAACCGTTCTGAATGTTTTGAGGCAGTACGATGGTGCCGATTTAATGATGCTATTTAGTATGGAATATATATATATTGAATGGGTCAATGCCACTGCCATTCTTAGTATTTTAATCCTTTTTTCTAACACTGCTCTATTTTTTTCCAGGCAAATGCCTTCCACTCAACAAAAATACAAAAATGTAACAATGATTATAATCAGTCACAAATAAATTTATTCATACCTGTGAGTACTCCATCTTTTTGTAGATCTGTAACTCTGTTAATAGCGTCCTGAGTCTTCAGTTTAAACCTGGCAGCCAAATCCTCCAGCACTACAACCTTTTCTCCCTGAAAATGTTAAGAACTTATTTTACCTTCTGTACTCCTGTTCAGCTGCCTAACAGACAAATCATAAAAGGGAATAATGAGATACGATATATTACATGGAAACTATAAAAAGAGTAAAGATCTGGAAAAAAATTATAGATGAACCCTGTAGAAACAATGTAATAAAAACAGATTTGAAAAATGTACTTCCAAGAAAAAGAGCAGAGTACAGTATATGATAGGGAGAATTAAGAATGCATGTGGCAATTTAGCCTTTTAGCCTAATATTGGCATTAATATTTTCATTTAGTATAATATCGTCATTAACTTTCACTGAATGTAGACAAAGTTTTGCTGAACAATTAATGCATCAATTTCTTAACCCATCTACCATGCAAACCTTCTTAACTACTTTATAATTTTTTTCTTGACAAACTTACACTGATCAAGAAAACAATGTTAACCTTGCTACATACCTTTATGTAACCAACAAACTCATTAAGAAGGTTCTGTTCCTTCTCCTCTTCTGCAACTTCATCAAAACCTTCCTCCTGTACCTCAAACTGAGCCTTCAGCTTCATGTACTCCTCCAGCTCCTGACGTTCCTTCTCCTCCTTTTCCTTCTGCTCTTCCTCTGCTTTTCTGGCTTCTTCTTCAGCCTATAAAATTTCAGTATATAATATCCTAAGTACCTTACTACCATGCACTTATGCCCATATACACATGCATGTACAGTAGAGTATATTTATGTACAGGGCTGGATTAAGACTTTAGAGGCCCTGAGCACTTTAAAGATTTTGGTGCCCCTATATATATCTATCTATAATTCAAAATATAAACAATAATAAAGTGTAAAATAAAATTATATTTTTTGAAATGAAACTAAACTAAAAAATTGAAAAAAATGTTTATTTTTGTATATTTCCACTTTATTTATATTTTAAAAGTTTTTTCCTACTATTTCTAATTGCAGTCTTTGATCAGATCCTCAAAACTCATCATATGTAACACGTCTGCTTTTATACTTAGTAGAGATAAGGCATCCAGGACACCATGTAGAAATACACAAGTACTACAGTACTGTAGATGACAAAAGATATATAAACCCAGCAAAATATAAATACTGTATTTTTAAATTGCAACTTTGCAAAAGGGAACCAAATCTCACCTCAAGCTTCTCTTCTTTTCGTCTCTCTTCAGCATCCTTTTCTGCTCTTTCTTTCCTCTCCTCTCGTTCCCGTTCTTCTTGCTAAAAATGATATGCAATTTATCATGATGTAACAGAAACTGTAAAATACCTCTCAAGCATAGTATATATGAATTCTAGAACCGAAACAGAACAATAGAGTTGAAATAATATGTAGATTATAGAGGCTTTCATAATCAATAAATCTAATAAACATGCGTTTCCACTCACAATGCTTTGTAACAGCATAGTCTCTCCTTAAAATGAAAGTACCAAATAAATTAAACGACCAGTCACTTTAGCAACATTTTACACAATACGTGTGTCAACTTGGTTACCCACTATTGAGGACAGGAAGCCTGTAGGCTTATTGAGGTGCTCTTTGGTTAACAACTGTCCTTTCCTATTATGCAACCCACAACAGTTTCCTAACTCATAGGTACTTATTTACAGTTAGGTGAAGAGGGGCACATTGAAGAGTGACCAAACTTCTTGCCCCGTCATGGGAATCGAACTCAAGTCCAACCAGTTGTAAGCCAACTGCACTAACCAATGAGCTATACAAATATACAGAAGTACAACACATAATAACTTGCCTCTCTCATAACTCGTCTATCTGCTTTAGCTTGAAGCTTTGCCATCTTTTTCTTGCCAACTTTGCCATCTGGTAGTGCAATGTCTTCGCCCACTGTTCCTGCATCCTCATCATCATCGTCAGATACTTCTTCACGACGTTCTGTAACAAAGATTTCATAACTTACACTTCATAATTTTAATGACCAAGTGTTAAAAAAAAAACCCTTACCAAAAGCATTAATTTTGCACCGTATTGGAATAATGTCGAACCACTTCTTTTTTGTGACAATTTTACCTCGTGTAAATTGTGGTCCTCGTGGTGCAGCGGGAAAGCACTCACCTGGCACTTTGCGCCCAGCCCATTCACTGGCTGGGGAAGAGTGACTGGGTGCCAATCCTTACCTGAAGCCTCTGTTCACCATGGATACCTGGTTGTTAAATGATTTGGCGGGTCGTATTCCAGGGAAAATTTGGATTAAGTACCAGTCCAAAACGCTATGCTTGCTAATGGCTTTACAAGAATGCAACAACTCTTGTATATATAAATAAATACAAATAAATAAAATGAAAGTGTTCACTCTTCATCAAATATGTTGTAATTCTCTACTGGCAATTGATAGAAATAGGTTTAGGGATGTACTGCAGGTATACAATGGTTTTGAGAACTTAGACAGTATACACTAAGGCTGATTCCAGGATTTATACTTGGGGATCTCAAGTCTCCATCCATAATTAAAACAAATAAGTAATTTTAATTGGTAGAAGCTTGACAAATAATAGCAAGTAAACATCTCCATATACTCCATTACTAAAGAAATTGAACATAAAAAGCCTGAAATTCAGAAGTAGGTATATGTTGGATACCATCATAGCCCACAATACCAAGACTGGTAATGGCAATTACTGCATCATCAAATTAACAATTTAATATATACATATTTCAAATGGCCTTATATTGACATCCCAGAACAGTACAATACCTGCACAAAGAAGTGACAAATTGAAAATGTAAAGAAAATCAGCTCTGTCATATGATAAAAAAAAAAAATAGATGAAGCAAAAATATAATTTACCAAACAAAACAATTTTGTATACAGGTACTTTCTTATCTTTTAATAACATAAAGCTCTAATAAACTTCTCTAGTACTATTGCATATAGCTTCACAAAACAAATGGTCTAATGAACCTTCAAGTGCAAGATTTACTGACCTATAATACAGTACTATTTAGCTTTTATTACATCATCATCTGAAAAATCTTGGGAATCATGACAGAATAGTCTAGCTACTAAAGCTAAAATGCAGTTTAAAATACACTATAGAAAAGCTCTCCTTACTGAACTGGGAGCCATTTATTAACTAGAGGTTTTCTGTAATTAAAGGGTTTTCATACACACATTGTGTCTCATGAATTCTCACTTAAAAAATGTACGTACGTGCAGCTGCTCTCATCCTTGCCCGAGCATTTCTGTTGGCAGCAGCACGGTTTGGTGGATGAACTCCTCCAGCAGCACCATCTTCACCCACACGAGGTCTGGGAGGTCGTACTCGCTCTTGCACTGCAAAGAAACGCAAATTAAAATATCAGGCTCTCGGAATAAAAAAATATACACTAAAAAGGCATAAGGTAAAACAGTAACATACTTTGCCATCTCTACATACTGTACAGTAAACTACACTATCTCTAATGGTTTGTTTCTACCAACTGTACAACAATCTGTGAAACCTAGTCAACAGCGCTAAATTTTTCAGCATTTAATCTATGAATCTAGGCTATTTATAACATGGTTAATAAATTTCAACACATTTTATTATTTTGTATTGTATTTATGCATATGCAGATGTACAAATGCACTTTTCAGTCAAAGATAAGTGTTTTTATTGATCATGGCTATGAAGACAATCATCTAACAGGTGGTGACCTAATAACCATCAAATTTATTTCATTATGCCTTTAATGTCACATTTTAACACTAATATCCTGGCAGTTCTGACAATTTAATCATTAATGATGCACAAATCTTTTAAGCACCAGTGTGAAATGGAAAAACTTTAATTTGAGGAGTGAATGGGTGGTACAAGACATTTAAACCTAGTTTAGGAAGACGTTGGTCACTATAAACAGCTGGCAATGTCAAATAAAACATGTTACTGTGAGAGACGACCAGCAAGAAATGTCAAATGAGACTAAACAATTTGACTAGGCAACAAGCTCATTTTATAACACGGCAAAATTAGGTTTAATATAATGTCAAAAGAAGTCAACAATATACTGTACTTAAATTGTTGAATTCTTTTATGTTTGGCATAATCTATTTTCTATCTTATTTCATTAGACGATAAGCTTATTTGAGTAAGCTTGTGTACATTTATCAGTACCACAAAGTCTTTATTTACAGTGGAACCTTGTTGACCAGACCACACACCAGAAAGTGAAGGGACGAATCGAACCTTGATTCAACACACCTGGAATCAGGGATTTCTCCGACTGGATGTTTGGAATTTTTTTGTTTGGTGAATGGTAATTTTTAATATGCCTCCAATCACGTTTTTAATGATTTTTGTAGATGAATGCAACTATACAAGAAATAGTAAGGGGGCTTGAGAAAGCCACTGAGCATATTTAAAACCAAATTCTATGGTTCATTTTAATTTTGAGATTCTCTGGCAATCGTTCATTAATATTGGTAATTTTTTCCTTTTAAAATTAAATTTCAAGACTGAGGCATGGGAAATATGTTAGATGTAGTTAAATCTCTTTCCAGACAGGTTCTCTTGGTAGTTGAAATTGAAATAAGTTTATTGAGGTAAAATACACACAAAGGGATGAGGTTATGTTTTCATTTTACTCTTTATGCTCAATTAGTATTAAGCTTTAGTCATTTAAGTTTTTTATGCCGGAAACGCTTTGCGTAATAGTGGCTTTAGGCATTGTATGTACTAGCCCTAACTATAAATCCATCACTCCTTGTAAAATCTCTTTTATATATGTACCTTACCTAAATAAACATTTTGATTTTGATTTTTGATTTGAGGTAGCTCATGCTATTCTCACCCCGTTCAGTACATCGTGTTAATACATACATAAATACACATCACAAGCAATAAACGTATTACCGAACATTCCGAGAGATATACATATACATTTCCTTCTTGGTAGTTGCCCCTCATATATACCATGTCCCTAATAGGTTGTGTCCGCTCAGGTACTGTGACAAGTTCTGTGCCAATATTCCCAAGGTAACATCTGGTCAAGGCAGCCTCAGCTTTGCAAAGGTCAACACAACACATTTCCCATAAAACAACAACTGTCCTTTACCTTTTTCTTCCCTCTTGCTGTAATATGTTATAAATGCGAGGACGAGGGCCACCAGGAGGGCGAGAGCAGTGTAGAGCGCCAGGTCCTCCATCACGGCCTCAACAGCTGACCTGCACTGTCAATACTAACACATGCTACCCAAAGCCTGCTAGTATTACGTTAGTAATCAAGATATACGGTATATCTACTCCCTATAATGCTGGTATTAAATGCAGAACATGATTAAACCTATTTTTACTCTGAAATGATCTAATTTCACAACGAAATTAGAAATAAATGTGGCATGTGACGTCATTGGAAGTCGAAGGTCCAAGTGACAATGTTGTGGAGCGACTTATCCAAGATATATGAATTGTGGCGTTCATTGCCTGAGCCCATTATGTGCCTCTAACCCTTTCCACTACCGCCCACAGGATGGGTATGGGGTGCATAATAATTGAACTAAACTAACAATATATTGTTGCCTGGAGTGTGTTTACTCCACTCTACTCCATATATCAGCCTCCTGTATAGTTTTTTTTGTCGCAAATTTAATTGGTGATATTAACAAGTAGAATGCGTATTTATAATAATATCTAGCATAAATAGCCACAAAACATTTAATATTTATTTAAAAAAATATCCGGCAGTTAAATCAACTATTGAAATTGAAATAAGTTTATTGATGTAAAATACACAGGACAATAGAACAGTCCCTGTGGCGTAGTGGTAAGACATTCACCTGGTGATTCGCGAATCGCGAGCGCTTTGGCCTGGGTTCATGGCGCGGCAATCCTTAACTGTAGCCTCTGTTCACACAACAGTGAATGGCTGGTTGTTAAACGATTGTTCGTATTCGTATTTCCGTATTTCGTTAGGATTACCTCAATCCTATCATCACTCAGCAAAAATCTGCTATCAGAACTATAACAAGCTATCTTCAGACAAGACATAGCCCCTCTATTTAAGTCCCTTAACATGCTAAACATACACTTCACACATTCTCATGTGCTATCTACATGAACAAAACCTAATGTTCCTATATGCTAATCTTGATATGAAAATTTTCCTTGATACCTGTAATAGAACTCATGAGCACCACACCAGAAATAAATAGCTTTGATATCCCTAGAGTCAGACTAAATCTGGTAGGGGGGGGTAGAAATAGCCTAAGCTACTCTATCCCTTTGAGATGTATTTTTTCTTGTCTCAATAAACATACTTGAACTTGAACTTTACTAAATCTGTGCAAACATTCCATGCAAATAAAAGGGTCCAGTCAATGGAATTCACTCCCTGGTGAATTAAAAAATTGTCCAACTCATGTCCTGTTCAAAAATAAAATCAAAAGGTACCTAATATCATCCTCATAGTTTCCTATCTTGTGCTTCGAACGGTTCCATGGGCCCTATAGGTGAAAAATCATTTCCTGTTGACCAGACCACACACTTTTCACTTCCTGTTTTCAGTTCTATATTGTGGCCTGTTGAGCTTGAAATCGTTGTTCCTTGTTTGTGTAGCATCTGACCTTTCGAAGAAGTTGTCTGGATCAATATCCTCAAAATTGTTCAATATATTAAAAGTTTCGAAGATATTCGCGCCTTGTCATGCCTATAGTATTGTTAACCTTAAGGCCCCTCAACGGCTCCTGATATGAGAGTTGACTTAGTTCTGGAATTATTTTTGTTGCCCGGTGTTGAACTTTCTCCAACGAAGCTGTCTTTCTGACGATGAGGTCTCCATGCCTGGATGTAATAATCCAAGTGAGGACTTTGTATATTATTAATAATGTAGTCCAGGAACCTCTTACTTGCTGAGACCAGAGTGAGCTTAAATCAGGCACTCTATTTATCATGACAAGAAAGATGGGCAATGAAATACGAAAAAGATACAATATATATTCTTAAATAGGATACAAGGTGACAAGTAAATATGATAATACGGATGTCGGACACTAGGAGTTGAGGAGTGGTGAAGTAGGCACCAGTCCAGTGTGAGGCAGTGGACAGTGGTGACATAGGCAGCAATTCAAGTGTGAATTGCTGCCTATGTCAGTGTTGCAGGGATAGTAGTTAGTCGCATATAAAAAGAGTTAACTTTGCATAATGATCATATGCTTGAAAACTTAAACCAATGTCATCAGGTGCACATACCCTGACAGGGTACTTTTGGGTTAGATTACTATGTTGTGTTGAAAAGGTTTATTATTGATTAGCTGTATAGTTGTTTAACAATAGGTGTATATGAGAACTGGTGGATCAAAGAGTAGTGTATTGAAGATAATGCGGATGATTCTGGATGTGTTTAGGGTGGTACTGAAGGAGACGTGCTTGTTGTCGTGTTGGGAGTCTATATATTTGTAAAGCGTCTTCCAGAGCACGTTTAGTGCTGGCATATTAGCCCACATGTAGAGACTAACTTGTTGTACGGTCCTACCATTGTATGTCAGATATCCAGCGAAATGCTTTGTTTTTGACAAGCTGAGGCTTCTTTGGTTTGTGTTTAGTGCTAGGAAGAATTGGATCGGTGCATATATGGTCAGAGGGAGGACGAGCACCTTGTACAGATGTAGCTTCGTGGTTAGGTTGGTGTATCTGAGTCTGTATGTTCGTGTACCACCTGTGCTAAATAATTTATCTCTGTCTACCTTGTCAATCCCCCTGAGAATCTTGTAGGTGGTGACCATGTCCCCCAACTCTTCTGTCTTCTAGTAATGTGAGGTTTAATACTAATAGTCTTTCCTCGTACCACATGCCCCTCAGCTCGGGTACCAGTCTGGTGTCATACTTCTGAACTTCCTCTTCGTCTTGTGCTTGACTAGGTACGGACGCCACGCTAGAGCTGCATACTCCAAGATTGGTCTGACATATGCGTATACAAGGTCCTGAATGATTCCTTACAGAAGTTTCTAAAGGCAGCTCTTATGTTGGCCAACCTAGCATATGCCGCTGATGACGTACTTACCTAGTTGTGCTTGCGGGGGTTGAGTTCTGGCTCTTTGGTCCCGCCTCTCAACTGTCAATCAACTGGTGTACAAGTTCCTGAGCCTACTGGGCTCTATCATATCTACACTTGAAACTGTGTATGGAGTCTGCCTCCACCACATCACTTCCTAATGCATTCCATTTGTCTACTACTCTGACACTTAACAAATCTTTCTAATGTCTCTGGCTCATTTGGGCACTCTTGTTTCCACCAATGTCCCCTAGTGCGTGTGCCTCTGGTGTTAAATAGTCTGTTTTTATCTAGCCTATCAATTCCTCTGAGAATCTTGTATGTGATCATGTCCCCCCTAACTCTTCTGTCTCCCAGTGACGTGAGGTTTAATTCCCACAGTCTTTCCACGTGTGTGGGTGTGTGTGTGTGTGTGTGGGGTGTGTGTGTGTGTGCACTTACCTATTTGTGCGTGCAGGATCGAACATTAACTCTTGATCCCAGGAGCTCAAGTTCATTGCCAATTTGTACAAAAGTTGTACAGAATAATATTACAACCTTCCTGCCTATTTAACGCACATTTTATCCAAGTACGCTATGGAATACTTCTGCTGCTGTCCGTCTCGGAGTAATTAGTGGTGATGACTTTCTTCCAGGAGTGAGGGCTGGACGGGCCGAAGAGCGAGGATGGAAGTGTAGTACATCGACCCCGGCTGAACCTAGTGTCTGGGAGGTTGGTGTAGTGGTGGCGCGAGGTGTTGGTGTGTACCAGGTGACACAGTTCACAAAGACTGCCCTTCAACACAGGTCGCAGGTAGGCCCGCCATATGTGGTACCTGCAGGGAAGCGTTGACAATATTGCTACAGTGCGTGGTGGTTTGGAAGGTGAGGGTGGTTATAATTAATGTAATTGATGATAATGATTGCTGTGAGTTAAGACCCTGGAGCAGACTATGTATGCAATATTCTGATCTCTCTCTCTAATTAGCTTATGTCAACATTGACACATGTCTAGCACGGACCCCGAAGAAGTTAGTTACACTGAATCTTGAGGAAGTTGTGAAGCTGAAAGCTGTGTAGTCTTCACAAAACTTAAGAAACCAAAATCTTAATGAAACACCCTTAATACAGTACATTCAAATACTTTTTCTAAGAAATAATTTTATTTTAAAATTTCCAAGGTAGCAGTTAGTTTTTAGAAGTTTCCTGTTGTTTGATATTGACCATGATAATTTAAACTTAAATTATTATGAAAACAGACAGGGGAAAATGGTGACTAGGCTAAGACAAAAAACCATGACATAGTTCTAAGCTGACAATAGTAAGAAAAACTAACAAAACTAAAAAAAAATCCCATTACAACATAAACAAACAACAAATCAAAATAAAAAATGCATTACATTACATAAACTACACCAAAAACTGACAAACAGGAAACTCCTAAAACCACACTAAACCTATAAACGGCTACACAGAAAACATTGCTACAAAATAAAACTATAACAATCAAACCAAAAACTACGAGAAACATGAGAAAAACAACAAAACACTGATAATAAAACTCGGTCCATCAAAACAAAATATTAACGATCAGGACAAAACAAGAAAAATAAACAACACAGACCACACAACCAATAAACAAGAGAAAACAAATCGGTGTCTAGACAAACGTAACAAAACAAAGACAACCAAGGGAAACTCTTGAATAATAACGAACCTAACGAAAAACAAGGCACTTATTAAACTCATCAGTTATCTTAGCAAACTCAAAAGACATTACGATTTAGCTCCTATACTATTGCCACATCATTCAGAAAACAGCCATTAAAGATTTGAAGACGCATGATGTCCCTCCGTCCTGGCGACAAGAGTGCTGGTCGCACCTGCCGTAGGCGACAGGGTCCTGATGGAGACGCAGGAGGAGACCCGCCAGCTGCTTGGGGTGGTAGTGGCGGGCGTCGATGTAGGAGTGTGGAGGCAGGTACCGCCTGTAGTCCGCTCCTGATGGGTGTGATTAATTTATTATGAATCTCATCCCATAACCATCTTGTGGGTATGACTTAAGGTAACCATAACCATCCCATAACTTAAGGGAATCAATTTACATTTGTGGGGAACCAAAGTGGCATACAGCTTTAATTCTTTCCTGTCACCACAAACATCTTGCGAGCCGCGTTGGAAAAGTTTAGTCATATAATGAGCTTAGAAGGCTACTGCATAGCCTATAGTAGACAAACTTTGGACACAGCTAAAAATTTGGTAATATATTTTTAAATTAAACAATTAGACTTTTTTCTAGGGAACAAGCAAACTTTGTTGTGTACGTGAATTTATTCTAGCAAAATTTATTCTAGCCTGTGTGTGTATATATATATAATATATATAAACATTTAATAAGCCTTATAAGTGTATAAGCCTCGATATAAGGCATATATCGAGGTCCTTTCCTCCAAGGTCCAACTACTGAGTCTCCCCAGGATTCAACCCCAGCATCTGTTTATTGCTAGGTGATAGGAAATTTGCCCAACAATTTCTGTTCCGGCCGGGATTCCAGATTGTGAGTCAAAAACGAACCGAGACCACTGACAGCGCCACAGCCACCTTCACAAAGTAACCCACCTCAAGCACCCACTAACGGCTGCACAGCCACTCACTCACCGCCCCATACGACAGGAACAATATTGTGAACGAGGGGGTTGTAGAGCTTTTCAGTGATGTAATCGTCACAAAAGGCATTTTCCATGGACAGGTAAAATGAGTAATTGGGCTGAAGCACCTGTTCCCAGCACTTGCCTCCCAACACGCTCTTTGGTCCACACACCAGACTGCCACACTGGCCATACCTGTAATGTATGTCAGAGCTGATTAAGTCCTGCTGCATGGTTGGTTCACGTCAGTAGCCTACTGGTAGCACATGAAACGTATTCAAGATAAAATTGAAATAAGTTCATTGAGGTAAAATACACACAAAGGGATGAGGTAGCTCAAGCTATTCTCACCCCGTTCAGTACATCGTGTTAATACATGCATAGATACACATCACAAGCAATAAACATATTACCGAACATTCTGAGAGATAAACATATACATTTCTTCCTTTACGCAAGATAAAATGTGTCATTCACATCCGAAAGGTTATGCTAAAATGTTTTCATTTAGTTAATGTATGTCTCGAATGGTAAGTCATTCATTTAAATTAGGAATATTATCAGTAATCTTTCCTCACAACATAGTCAAATTATAAGTGTTTAGAGTGCTTGGTTAGTGCGACCTCGATAACCCCAACAAGTTTCCTGTTCCAAATAATTGTACACTACACAATAAATGTTAGCAACTGTATCTACAGTTTTCTTTTGTGTGTGTGCGTGTGTCCTTGTCATAATTTGAGGGGTAGAAATAGCCTAAGCTACTCTTTCCCTTTGAGATGTATTTCTTTCTTAAAGTCTCAATAAACATAATTGAACTTGAACTTGTCATCATTTCGGAGCGTGTTTACAGTTTGAAGTAAGCCTTAATTAATGCCTTAAATCCAATGTCACTTTACTGAGTTGTTATCGGGGCAAATTTGGCCCGAGGAATGGCTTATCATACTCACGTATCAACGGGAAGATATTTCTTTAGTTCGGCGACGTACTGCTCCCTCCTGGACCTGGTGTGACAGTGGCCAGACATCCAAGCCACCACGCGGGGTTTGTTGACGAGGCTGAGCCAGGAGGACCCAAGCACCTCCTCCAGAGAAGCGCCCCTCTTCAGCGCCTCCTTCACTCCTGCCACAGCTGTCGCGTGGTCTCTCATCCGATTGGGACGTAAAGGCCTGTGAGAGATATTATGCTCAACGGAGAATTTGAAATTCGGTGGTTTAAATGGATAGTTAGGAAAAATAAGTGGGCCAACTAACACTATAGCAAAATTTGTCCGTACTGGAGCAGCCTATCAGTACCATTGACCCTACCAGGCCCCCCAGGCCACCCAGATTAATTTGTGTATATAGCACTGGGTCCTCCCAGGAATGGACCCATAGAGGTGAGAATGTTGGTGAAGGATAACATGTGTAGTGAGGATGTGTACTGAAAGACCTGTCTACAGTGAGCATGTACACAAGTTCACTCTCGATAGTTCAAATTTCAGTTTCAAAACGATAAGAGATATAAACGAGAAATAAGTAGTTACAAATAAAATTTAAAGCAGGAAACTGTAGTAAAAATGTCATACATTCGTAGCCCCCGTATGAGGGGGCGGAGCTAATGTCACACTGGCTGGACGCTCACTTGACTATTATTGTTTTGATCAGGTCAGCTGGGTCGAGCTTGTGTTCAGGTGCTAAAATGTAATTTCACTGTTAATAACAATTGTTATTGTTGTTGTGAAACTACCTATTGTTAAACTTATTGTTTAGTGTTATAAGCAATACTTGCTTATTGTTAAACTTAACGGTGCTTGATGTACGTAAATGTACGGTGCTTAAACTGTGTGTGTATATGACTTGTTAACTGTATGACTTTTAACTATGTGGCTTGTCTTGTTTACAGGTAACTACACTGTAATTATATGATCAATAAAGCCACAAGTCTGGCTATGCCTCTGTTTACCACATAAATAATAACAAACCAGTAAAGACGGTAATAATTTTCAAAACACAAGATCTAGAAAGACATACATTCTCAGCCATTTTTATTTAAGTAGTTATCAATGCTTTTATTTCTATAATGATTGCCAATTTTGTTCAAACAATGAGGCTTTTAAAGAGTATATATAAATTTGCAAAACAGTTGCCGAGACCGCAGCGATAAATAAGTGTTAAAGACGGGGCACACATTACAGGCATCAGATACAGAGACCATGATAATAGTTAAATCTCGTACCTAACTGAAGCGTTATGGGAGAGGAAGTAGCCATTGTAGGCAACCACGTCTGACTGTGAGTGGTAGGTCATGGTCCAGTTGATGAATGAACTTGCTTGTTTGGAGCGACGACTGCTGGCTGGTGGACCTTCCGGCGGCGCCTCCACATCTACCAGTACCCACCGCTGCTCCTCCGGCTCTCTCCGCTTGGGAAGTACTTCCCATGGGTACCTGTCGAGTGCAAGTGCACGTTAGCGGTTTGCCGCGTACTTTCTTTACTGGTCCTGTTGACTGTGATTAAGGATAGTGACTCGCCTGGTGCCGTCTCAAGAGTACCACACTCAGGCACCCAGTGCTCGAGTGTTGACCTCGAGGAGGACCTGGTACGACTGGTAGAATGAGACATCATCCGTACCTTAATTGCTCTAGTCATCACTCCCAGGTTGGCTTACAGATTCTTCCTCACCGGTTGGGGTTCGGAAATCTAACTCCAGCTCCTGTGTTCCGCCTCTGAAACATTAATCTAGGTGTGATGATAGCCTAATCCAAAATACAGAAATACAGTACTTTTGTTTTTGTGTTGAAGGAACATGTACTCACCTACTTGGGGTTGAGCTTTGTCTCTTGGTCCCGCCTCTCGACTGTCAATCAATTGGTGTACAGATTACCGAGCCTTCTGGGCTCTATCACATCTACATTTGAAAGTGTGTATGGAGTCTGCCTCCACCACATCACTGCCTAATGCATTCCATTTAACTACCCATTTGCTAACTAATTTAATGTGGGATGCATATAGGTGTTTGGAAGCCTCGCACGTGTCGTCACGGATCCATGTTACTATACCTGAGTTTACCTGAGGGTCACTATCTCGAGTGGCCTCAACGAGGACAGGAAGCTGGCGGCTTGTCGACATCTTTCCCTCCCCCCCCCTCCTATATGTCCTGGTCGTCTTATGGAACTGGATTTTAAAGTTTAGCATTGTTACGGCATTTACTTACTTCGGCGGGTAGGATTTTCCATGGGTATATAACCTGTGGGTGAAAAAAAGTTTTCTCTCCTGCATTGTAGCTTGTTGAGCTCTAAGCTGTTGCTCCTTGTTTGTGTTACATCTTATCCTTTAAAGATGTCTGGATCAATATCCTAAAAATTGTTTAGTATTTTATAGGTTTTGACTAGATCAGTCCTGTCATTTCTGGTTTGCAGTTTTATTAACCCTGTGGCCCTCAACCGTTCCTGGCATGAAAATCAACTTGATAACCCTTACTCACCTGCTCCTCGTTTATTTCCTTCTCCTTCCAAATGTTATAATAATAACAATCACAATAGCAATAACAATAAATTAATAATAATAAAAAAGCAACACTGGAAGGTACTTTAGACCATGCAGGAGTACATACCACGTCTGGTCATTGTCAAACACTTGGGTGAAGGCTCACTAGCATCGATTACCAGTTACCATTGTTACCCATTGTTATCTGTCACTACCACCAGCCCCCCCCCCCCCAACCTCCCGTCACGAGCTCTCCTCCCAGTCCCCAGTACACACGAATCAATATGAATGCGTGTGTGCACTAAGACAGGATACATACCAGTGTGTGCACTAAGACAGGATACATACCAGTGTGTGCTAAGACAGTATACATATAATTGAAGTATATATAAAATAATAGAGGCATGCATAGCAGTGAAAACAATTTGATTTAATATTACGGGCATGTTGAGGGCAGTAGGAAAATAATTAAGAGGAGAAACTGCTAAGCCATTATGTGAGGACAGGATGAAGAGCTGGGACAGAAAGAAGTGCTTGGTGCCTTCTTTTAATAATTACTTTAAATGACTTGGTTATCAGGCTGAATAGCAGACGCAAGCCTAATAAATGTCACGGAAACATGAAAGGTTCTTAATAGGTTTAAAAAGCTGTTTATCTTAAATCGACCATATTGGCACGCCTGTATGAATGACCATAATTACCCCTTGAACACCTTTAAACAACCTAATTGGCCATAAACCTAAAACTACCTAATTAATTACCCATTTGACACCCACCACAAGGCAACACAATCCACGGCCATAAAAGAGGGAATTCACTTGGGTACACTATTCACCAGTATGGTGTGGAATTTTACATGTTTCACAAACACTAAAGTCTGCCCGGGAAAACCCACTACATCCTCATCTCACAAGATTGATGGCATCTATATGGCCGCTGTGGAATACCAACCGGACCATGGGCCTCTCTCCTTTGATCTCATCTGACTGATCTAAACACATTGATTGAGTGATGAAGATTAAGCCACCAAAGAGTTGGCACGGGCATGAATAACCCGTAAGTGCTAGATTTGTTTGGAGTGAATGTGATCTTTGGTCGTGAATGACTGAACACACAAGTTTCACGGTCTTGTATACAGAATTTATACCTGCCATAAAGGCGTAAGATCGTGAATCTCCAACTACTTTCACCCTTTTACATCAATGTGGCGTCTTCTTGGCGCGGGCCAGCCACACACCCGGCCCCGTGTTTTGATGCGGGCGACGTGTCCCTCACAACATTGACCACTTAGGTATTTCATCTCGCTCTCTCACTCCCCATACTCCCTCAGTCTTCTTTACTCATCTACTCATACACCCCATTGTTAGGATCTCGGTAGTAAAGTGGCTAAACGTAGTTTTCGGCTCACGGTAGAGCGACGATCTCGCTTCAGGCAAGTTGGCGTTCAATCCCGGACCATCCAAGTGGTTGGGTACCAATCCTTCCCGCCCTCCCATCCCAAATCCTTATCCTAACCCATTTCAAGCGCTATATAGTCATAATGGCTTGGTCCTTTCTCCTGATAGTTCCCTTCTCGTCACAATTGAAGATGACTACCTCGATATAAATCTAACGTGTATGAATACACTCTGGCTGCCTGTCCCCCGACACAATGATTTATTATAATAAAGCCCAAAATATGTAAAAATGTGGTCAATGAAGCCAAGGCATGCAGTGTGCGGTACTCAGGCCAGGGCACAAAAGGTCAGCATACTCACGCGAGGGCGCGGAAGAGGACGGCGTGAGCGCCGCGCAGAAGCGAGCGGTCGTAGGTGAAGCGGCACTGCCAGGTGGGGCAGCCCTCGCCCTGCAGGGCCCAGGAGCTGGAGGCCCCGAATCTGCAGAAAGAGAGCGCAGCCACAGATAAGGTAGAAGGAAGGCTCTGTGTGCACCACTTAACACACATCCACACATGATCTCTCATGTGTACACACACACACACACACGGAGAAATATAAGAAAATTTCACTTTTGTAAACAGAGTGGCAGACGGTTGAAACAAGTTAGGTGAGAGGGTGGTGGAGGCTAAAACCGTCAGCAATTTCATAGTGTTGACCAGACCACACACTAGAAGGTGAAGGGACGACGACGTTTCGATGCGTCCTGGACCATTCTCGAGTCGATTGTGAGCAATTTCAATAGCTTTATAGCTAAAACAGAAATTTCATAGCTTTATATGGCAAAATGTACTGGGAAGACGGGGACAACACGAGCGTAGCTCTCATCCTGTAACTACACTTAGGTAGTTACACACACACACTTCCATGGCGATGATGGATACAACAATAAGGGCGAGGACATCAAGGGATTTAATCACCAAGGTTATTATTTGAAGGATATGTTGACACCTACGGCTTTAGTCCTTACACAGATCCTCAACCGCAGCCGAGTGGACAGCGCTCTGATGCTGTAGTCCAAAGGGGGCGGGTTCGACTCCTGGGTGATGCAGAAATAAATTGGCAGATATTTTTTCACCTGATACTTCTGTTCACCTAGCAGTAGATGGTTAACTTAGGTTGATACTACAGGCACACATAGTAATAAAATATATACACGCACATGCAGAATAATGTCGGCAACATATGCCAAACTGGCAAAATTTGAAATTAACTATATTAACTTGAACAAAAGACCGTTTAAACCATATGCATCTTAAGTGAGACCCAGACTAGAGTATGCTGCCCCGACATGGAACCTTACCTAAAGAAACACAAAAATTAGAAAAGGTTCACATATATGCAATAAAGTTAATTCCCGAACTAAGAGAACTGAGCTATGAAGAAAGACTAAGGGAACTGAACCTCACCACACTGAAAGAAGATACAGCGCAGACATGATAACGATGTGCAAGATTCTAAGGAAAAGTGACCCAGTAGCTAGATAAACAATGTTCAAAGTGATGAACAGTGAAACGAGCGGACGTAATTTCTCCTAACTACTAGTTCATCCGATAGTGATTGTGGCGAGAGAGATTTACCTCATGATAGTGGTAAATGTCTCTCACCACACCCATTACTTCCTACACTCTACACTGTCTCATGATACTCACAAATAATTTATCTTTCTGGAAGCCTCTACTTATCTAGGTTTATCTTCCTGTCTTGGGTTATGCTCCTGTCTCTCGTGCACATGATTTTCTGTTCACCTAGCAATAAATAGGTACCCAGGCGTAAATAGCATGGTGTGGGTTGCATCCTGAAGGCGGCCAGTGGTTGGTTAGGGGATCCTTGGTAAGGTTAACGAGCTTTCTGTCAGAATATGAGAATCTGTAAATTAACATCTTGAATATCGTTGGCCAGTGCGATCCCCTACAACAGCTCTCTATCCCCGATTTCTTGTCTTAAGACATCAGTACATTATACAAGAGTAATGTTAATTCAACATTGATTCAATTTGAATATTCTGCCCACTGAGCGTGTGTGTTGAACTCACTGTGAACTCACCTCAGAACAAACGTTGACTTTAATTCTCTCTCCCCTACACTATAACCCACCTGTTGGACCAGTCACCCCCAAACCACTTGTCCCAAAATAATATAGTCTTCCAGGTATTGTATTCTGTGGGCGTAGAGAGGCGGCCGAGTGTCCCAGACGAGGGCGTCTTAGTGTCTGGCTGGTGCTGGTCGTCGCCCACCGCCGCCCACACTGACCCTGGCAGGGGGTCAGGGTAGGTGGGCGTGCTCACGGCGGAGTTCTCACCATTGTGGAAGATTAAGTACACAGCTACAGTGAAAAAGCTTAAGCTGAGCACCAAGGTGTGTCTCTGTACTTTCGGAAGACTCATTTTTTTTGTTCTTATAATGGCGTTTGTTATTGATTTTAAATTATATTCATGGTTCTATGTAAAGTGCCTTCTGTAATGAGGTATCTGTGTGTAAGTCTGTGTACCTGTGATCGGATTTGACATACAATTATAGTTTGTGAGGCTTCCTCTTATACATATTTGTGTAACGTAAATCATTTATTAACACAAAGTAATAGTTAAAAAAAAAATACGCCTTTTTCAACACATACTTCACTTTTTCAATACCTCACATGTACTATTTCTTCGTATTTACAGCGTATAATATTTAATAAGTTTCTCTTATACTAGAGATTACAACTTGCACAACTTCGTCTTACTAATTACAAACTCCATGTTTCATTATTTAATTATCCGAGGCGCCTACATGGTTGCTTGCACAGTGGAGTTAAACCTGTCTTCTCAAATAATACATTTCATTTTGACATCAAAATCCCCCACCGTTTATGTCGTGCTGGAAATCACTGCGGCTCACAACCATTCACGTTTTCTATGCGCAGGTTCTCGGTTAGGTTAGGTTCGGGCAGTTTAATACAGTTTATATATCTCTCTGACAACACGAGAGAACAGGCTGTATAAATACCGTTTATTTCTTTTTTTAATGTTGCGTTTATTATAACCTTAATTAAGATGTTCACAGTTCGACTGTTCTTCCGACGTGACGTAATTATAACTCCAACAATACTATACATCATTTAATTATCTCATCATTGACGAATGATGTGTGCTCACCTATAGTAAACAAAACTATATGGTCGCGTAGTTACGTGTAGATTTATTGGGAATTATATCAATACTATTTTAATGTGGAGTCGTGAAGTTGAAAACAAGCTCACATAGAATTTTACTCGGCTCAGTTTGAGATATGAAAATTGCCCTTGATGATGACTCGAGGTCATAAGACTATCACTGAAAAATGGAGTTGTAAAGCGACCATGCTACCCGCACTATACAAAACTGCAGCACGCTCCAAGCACCCACTCGGCACCACTGTCAGGGCTACACTGGCCTGCTTGACCTCTCAACCACCCAGCTCTGTACACACACACACATATATACACACATACCTTCAGAGTAGATTATAAATGAAATGCACTAGGAAGTGATGTGGTGGAGGCTGACTCCATACACAGTTTCAAATGTAGATATGATAGAGCCCAGTAGGCTCAGGAATCTGTACACCAGTTGATTGACAGTTGAGAGGCGGGACCAAAGAGCCAAAACTCAACCCCAGCAAGCACCAATAGGTGAGTACACACACACACACATATACACATACATCACAGAACGAATGGTACCGCAACTTTGGATGAAAATATACCTATAATTATAACCGATTTGTTATTCATGTATCTATACAACAAGTTTTTTTTTATTGTTCAGAGTTGGTCAAACGCTTGGGACTAGCCTCACCCAAATTTGCAGGGAAATGGTCCAGGGTACGGGATGGACATAGGCTCGTGGGGGGTAGGCCTAAGTTAAATACTTTAAGTTAGTAAAAAAGAAGATGCGACGTAAAGTGTGAAATATGGCGAGTATTTACCGTAGAATGTTCCCGTTCTCGTGGGCGTTTACAATCTTTTACGTTTTCTCGATTATTTTGGTTATAACTATTTGGTGTCATAATGTTCGTAAATGAATTTCTAGAGAATAGATATGATTGAGATATATATCTTTATAATATCAAGTCCCCTCTTCTCTCCAGTAATTTTCAGTGTTAGTGGCAACATATCTGTAGTGCAGATAGTTGTGTATGCGTGAAGGTAAGCCAGTTGCTTAGTCTCGCACTAGTAGTGTGTGTGTACGTCTGTGGTTCTTGTATATTCTACAGGCTGGTGCAGTGCCACTTGTTGACCTTTCAACAGAGCCATCGATATTAAGTCTTATTCCATAGTGTTATAGGGACACAAATGTCACCTTCAAGAAGTTCGTGGGCTGCTGTTCTTACATTATGGTTTATAAATATGCTTAACTAAACAATGCTTTATGACATAGTTGGTAATAACATCTTTCGCTTTAACATTAAGGGTAAATTTTTTCCATTATACCACTTATGCATAAGACTCAATTTGATTTTTTCTTGATTAAATTTTTTTCTTCTTAATTTAAGGGAGAAATGTAAATTTTCTTGCAGTAGAGAGAAGTACAACACTTCTGTGCAAAATATATAGAAATATGGCTTTTCGTAATGTAGGACCACTGTAACGCTAGCTTCAACCTGTACCGTTTTGGTACAATTGAGGCGCAGATGGCAGCACCGCCCGTCACTGACATTGCCCGTGTCACTCCAATATTTTGATTGACATTTTTATAGCACTTGTACGAGTTCCTGTACTGTTGCAAGCTATACAACAGTAAACAATGCACTTTTAATGTAGCTAAGTATATCGTTATGTGACATGACTTTTTTTTTGCCTATTTATTTAAAAAATATATTTGAATTGCTGAAGTGACTATGATTTGTTTGACAACCTGTTGTCATAACGAGTTCCATAATGATTAGCATTTTAGAAGATGCACCTGATGTCTTCTTATCTTAATATAGGGAGTGGAGGTAGGGTACCCGGCGGTGCCCGGGACAGTCTATCTCTCTCCACATCCCCTTACCCCTACTTTTAGGGGTATTAGGAAATTATAAATATTTTGGCACAGGCAGAAGTGGTGAGAAAAGATATAATGTAAGAGGGAAGCAAACCCATTCAACACTTTATGCGAGTCAAAACACCCATTTCACTTGTGGTAAAAGGAGAAATGCTTGGAGTGACTCTGTACACTTGCGGCTCAGGCTTGGGTACAGATATTACTGGCACTATGGGTGTTAATGATAATGACACCTAGTGTAAACTATGTGGTATTTAAACTCTCACAGCCTCACCCATGATGTTCATGATTGCCCGTTGTTTAATGTAAATAGAAACACTGAGATAAGGACCGTTTCTGAACAAATAGCCTGGTTGTGTCACAACGGAAAGATTGACGATACTCTGGAAAGATATATACCACAATAAACTTGTTTGAATTAGAATTGAATTTACCCCCACCATCTCCCGTCTCACCCCTATCTTGACTATCTTCTTTACCGCCCTTCTTCCCTGTCTGGCTTCCAACCTCGAACAGACATTTCCATTGATATTTATATATAGAGGAGAACCCGGCGTACCGGGTCTCTCTCTTCCCCCATCCCCTCATTTTTATATAAATATACCGTAACCATCTTCCTTACTATTCTCATTACTAACCATCTTCCCCTCTCTCACTATTTTTATCACAAAGAACATGTCTCTACTTGCCAGTCACCCATTTATTCAACATTACCAAGCCATCTCGGTACAGTCTCCTCAATCCTGTAATATATTGACTTTAGTAATCTGCATCAATAATCCTGGTCTATCCTCTTGGCATAATATATATACTGTACCTTTCATTTTGCATATTTAGACTGTCAATAATTATTCTTCCACCACATCCCAAATGCATTTCACAATCATATGCATAGGCAGACACCATCACTCCTTTATGCTGCAGAGTTCAGATTGTTTCATACAAAGCTGTAGGTGACCAGCCATTTTCTTCTGTTGTCGTCTTATTATAATAATAATAGCCTGAAATGCTATGCGTGCTAGTGGTTGTACAAGAATGTAAAAACTCATATAATTATTTTTTTTATATATACAATAATTGTTGTAATTACTAATTATTACTCTTCCTTCTGCTTGGTCTTGAAGGAAGCCGGCCTCGGGTGAAAGGGGGCTGTGACGATCTGTCTGGAACCCGTAGGTGCGGGGCTTGGAAAATCCTCCTCCTGGGGGTTGTGCAGCCCAGGGTCTGCTGCAGGAGGTTGGGGTGGTTCTTCTCTGGCCCTGACCACGGTGGTCTCCGGGTTTGGAGTCCCTGTGCCTCCTTTTACCAACTTCGAGATTAACACCTGAACTGGAGTCCCTAGGGCAGTTCGTTGTTGCCTTCAACCTCGTTCTGACAGTTTCTGCGACGGCGTTAGAACCAATCGTATTGGCATTTGCCTTTCCATTGGAGACTTTCAGTACCGTGGAGAGGGGGGTTTCTGCTGCATGAGTAACAGCTTCTCCTCTGTATCAACCTATCCTGGCTTTGCATCCTGGAGAGGCCACTCCAGACTGACAACCAGAGTGCAACTCTATAGTCTCCTATGACTGTTGGATGCCTACTGTCTCGGTGGAATAATCTTGCAATTTTTGCTGTAGGTGTCAATAAATATATTGGTCATTTGATTTATCATTTTATTGGATATAAGCCAGAATGTAGGGAAAGGACAAATTGATAGCAGACTGTCTTAAAGAAAGCTTACATCCTACAGACCTTAAGTCATCTATGCATCCATTATTTAATTTCTGACACCATTTCCAAATTTGTAATACAGTAAAAACAAAATTTAAAGATATACTGTATTCCCAAACAGTATAATATAGTTCACTGCAATACAGTTTGCTAAATACAAACAATTGCAGTAATAAATCATTCCTTAAGCCAACCTATTTACATTGTGTTAGTGATTGTACTGTACAATGTATTTGTTTTAGGTTGCATGCTTATATTTTATCTAATTTATTCATACACCACAGAAATTTTAGTACTGTCACTACTAAATAATGAAAGTACTAGTAACTCGCTAGTACTTTCATTATCATGCACATCATAGTTGGCTCTATTATAAAATATTCCCAATTTCCAGTTCATTGTTCATTTAGTTACTCATGTCCTTCATCCTGTGGAGGACACTGCTACTCATCTACCTATGATATTTACATCATTGACACTATACTTCCTCTGGAACTGCTCACTAAATAAAGAGCAGCCTCATGTTGAGATCTCCACCAGATATTTAAATAAAGTTTATCACACTGAAGACTGCTACTCACTAAATAATTGCCAAAAAATAAGCTCCAAACTAAAAAGAGAACATCTGATAGAAAAAATGAGTTCTTAAAGAAGTAAAATAGTACACAGGAGAAGTGAATAAATAGGGGTAATGATAATGTATTTTAAAGTATAATATGACATGATACCCCACATGAAAATGCAAATTTGTCTTTAATGCTTTAGTAATCACCTAAAGACATGGCCTTTCATCTTGTCCTGAATGTCTTAGAGACTTATACAAAACAAAATTGTAATATGCTTGGAAGGGGGCAGACTGCCAAATGTAAGAAATTTAACCTATTGCTTTATAACCAAATTATTGATTTATCAATGCTGTACTGCTACCTACTTAGCAATAAAAAAATTTGTGTTAAATTCCTGAGCATTTTATATAACCTTCCACTACACCCACAGGCATGGTTTGAATCACGTTCTTCAATAAACTCCTGTGAATCCGATTCCTTTGACATTGTTCATCTTATGTTTTATCTTTTAAATTGGCATCCTAAATAATATCCATGAACTTTTTAATGTTCCGTGACAAACAATGCTATATGACCTTTGGGCATAGCACCTTGTTTTGATAATTACTTCCTTCTTACCCTCTGCAGGATCGATATTGTGTAAATAAAAATTAAACTAAAGGAAAAAATCCTTAATATCACTACAGTGTGAATGTAGCCAAATAAATAAAATTGCTTCTATGAGTGATGAAAGATAACTGGACTACTAAATGAGTAAATATCACACATTGTTGTTGACCTCAATGACTCATTTAGAATACAGGCTAGATTAACCTATGCATAATTTAGGAAGGATTTAATAATCACACTAAAACAAGAACCATTTTAAGTTAACATATAGATTTAAAAACTTTATGAGTAACCTAAAATTTGTTTTAGTATGTACTGCATTTAGTCAATTAAGAGCTAGTCACCCACCCAAAAACACTGTATAAAGAAATGAAGTAATCAGACTTAAATACCTCACATTGTATGTTTCATGTTAAGATCTTCATATAAAATAACCATAAATATCTGGCCATCCCCAAATCTGGAATGATGAGAATAATACATTTATTAGCAAATATCATCTAAACTCGAGTTATAATTATTTAAATTTTGATCAAAAGAACTTTTACTATGTAAAGCAGCACTAGTTTTCAGTTATTCCTACCGACTGATGAAGATCTGCCAGGAAAGACATTTGATGGCGTATATGCGCACAGTACTCCACCTTTCCTGGTTTTCTTTACAATCATTTACTGATGTATATCCCTTTATATGCCACCTGTACATGTTCACACATACATTTTTACTCATAGCTACACAAAATTATTATTTTCCGGATACTACATCCTCCTTTGTTTTATAGATCTATAAAATAAATATACTTATATACTTTATCAATACAACACACATTGCTAATTAATTATAGCTACAATATGTATTATATATAATGAAGGTGCCCGAAAAAAAAAGTAAACCATATCCGACTCCATTTCTCGAGCAATAGTAAACGTCAATACAAGTAAGGATCTACTTCTAAGAAAAAAAATATATATGTGCACCACTCGTAATTTAATAATCTGTTGTCGAGCAATAACAACAATACTTAACTATCACACAATAACAAACTCATTAAATAAAAGATAATCAGCCACCTTTTATAATAAAGATGGATAAATATTGATAATCAATTTGTAGATAATCTGTATCCACTTTTTCTAGCCTGCTCATTAATATCATAGCTACTTATAATTAATATTTTGCTACACACACCAATGGACAGAGCCGAGTAAGAGTAAAAAAGCACACCAGTACTGGTACTCAAGTTGCATGCCAGAAGAGCACACCATCACCTCTTTATTCCATAAAACAAAATCCCTATGAATGCAATAAGAAGTATGATTAATAACAGTCACTAGTATCATCCATTAATGTAAATGAACACATATTTGACAGAAGCATAGTACTTACTATACTTCTATGGCTAATGAAAATTTAAAATTGTTAGTAACTAATCCATTTACTGCGATTTACAGATGTTTGAAAACATAACACAGTACTATTATGCAATTTACTGAACTCCAACAAATAATAAATAAACTTACGGCTACATACAACAATTTAACATTTCAAGCACAATTTTTTAATTCATTCAAGTTCACCACAAATCCAAATACTACATAATTTTCTGATATTAACATGCAGGCATAAATGCCTTTAATGTATTGTAGCTATGGCTTTTACCTTGAACAACTGTCATGGATTTTTGTCAATTGGTCCGTGTCTATGGGTTAAAGTGTTATCCTGACCTTGTTTCATGTCACCATGACTAGCTGTGACCACTCTCGACCTCACGCCCCTAGTCTTAGGAGAGAGCTCGTGCCTCATGGGTTGTGTGTAATATTACCAGTTCTCCAGATCTATGGTGGTGCTTCTAAGCCTACATGTTGAGTAGTTACAGGTAAGATTACTAGGAGACCATCGCTGTTTTCCATATTACTGTACTAACTTTATCTTCGAAACAACATCTATAACCTTTACAGATCATAAATAAAACTATATAACGGCATTTATTCCAGGATCTGAAAAGGGAATTAATAAAAATTAGTCTCATTACTACCAGAATCATAAGAAACATATTATAATTACTATACAAATCTAAGCTTAAAATAAAAAATATTTCAATCAATTGCATTTCAGTTCTGCATGTAGAACTAAATTTATAAAAACGTTCAGAAGAATGTAAATGTATTGAAGACAAAAATAACTGTTACAGTGCAGTGTACAGTACCATATAGTGCAAAGGTCTCATCTAAATTTCCCAGAAGAGAATACATTCCTTACTTCATTGTGGATTTGTTTATTTGATGCATCACGCTATTGTGATTTCTGTGTGTAACACACTACCAATGTTGGGTAGTGGTCATTGAGAGAGAACATGTTGAGATAGGACTCACCTGAGTTACAAGTCCCGCAGCTATAGTGGAGCCTCCAGTTCTCAACATAAAGCGTCCTAATTCTTTATAGTCTCTGAAAAGCTCCAGACACAGAGGACGCGTGAATGCCAGTTCTATTACTGCAGCAGTGTTTTTGACGAGTGCTCGTGGTTTACTTTTCACAATCTGTCCAGTAGTCTTATGTAGCTGGGATACTAGTTTTTTAATTTTTGCAGGTTCTGTTACAGCCTGATAGTGAAAATCAACCTGAAATTGAGAAAATTAAAACATGACTTTCATTTCATAACCTTTAACTGCAACATTTCCTTCAGTGCTTAAATAATTTAAACAAAAGCATAATCCTGACATTCCCCAATACCTCACAAATACTGTATACTAAATTTAGAAATCTGACCAACATGCTAGGAACTGTACATCTGAACTAAACCCTAAGCCCCTTCAGTTTGGTTCAACTGCCACTTCCTGCGTGCGATATAAGATTCCCGTCTCTCTTGGCTGGCAGGCACTCATTGTTTTGGGTGGAGAAATAGCAGTCCTCCTATTGTTTATTGGTTTAGGATAAAAAAAAAGAAGAGAGGTTTCCAAGATGTTTGGCATGTTTGTGGCCAGGGCTCAAGGTTTGACAGGGTTTGTGGCTCTTGACTTTTGGCATGGGACTCTTTATGCTTCCGACTTGTCCAATGAGGTATAGTTTTAGCAGCTCTATGTTGAGGTTTTTCCACTTACACTCTGCTTATGTCAGGGTGGATATAAATTCTCATTCTCATTTGACCAATGCTTCTCTTCTATGAACATGAACGTGTGTGATAGAATATGCTTCCATTAAAATATACTTTCATCTTCAAGAATGCAAGCTGAGGATGGAAGTTACCATGTTCAATGCCTGCCTCATGCATGTGGTTAAGGTTGATCTCTATCTTTTTCCATGATTACGAACTAGCACACAAGCAAATGGCACATATTCTAATATCCCATCTATATGTTTAGTATTTGAAGCCTGGTTGCTTTGTAGCTGTCTCTGTGGTACCAGAGCCACTGTACCAGGAAGCTACCGAGGGCCTGCTCAGAAAGTATCATAGTTTATTTTAATTATAACAAACTCGCTGTACATGAAATTCTGTTAAAAGTTCCAAAGAGTTGAATCCAGTATACAAATTTCTGAAAACACACAACAAAACTGTTGTGCCTGTCACATTCAAACTGTAAAGAGCAAAAACTACATACAGTAAGTGCTGTTTAACTAAAAGATGCAAAAAATGATAGTGACATTAATACACAGAGCCTAATTTATTGAACAATAATTAAATTGTTTACAGGGAACTACAGAAGTATTTTTGTTTATCTTGGAATTTAGGCCTTAGGCAAAGTACGAGAAGAAGTTTGGTTATTCAGTGACAAGTATTTTCCTAGAACACTGCTAAATGCAGTGTTTACAACCCGGTCAACCAAACAATAAGAAATGAGTGCCAGTAACTACAATATTATTATGTAGACGAGGAGTTGCAATAACATGGCTGAAGAGGTGATACCCAACACACACATCTAAAAGTAAAGAAATATGACATTTTGGTCTGTCCTTGACCGTTGTGATTATCACGACCGATAATTGTCCGGAACAGAATGAAACAGCATTGTTTATTTCCAGACGTGTGGGTTGGGTACAATAGTATTAGATAAGTTATCATACTTAACACAGAATCCCACACTAAAATTCAACAAGTTTTCATATTACTGTAATATATGTTTATAGTACAAAGATGTGAAGCCTGGCCACAATTTGGTGGTGAAGGCTACTACTACTATTCTATTGTATTCCCAACAATAAAGTAGTTTGCCCGGGAAACCCACATTCTCTATCTTCTCACCAAGACTATGTTTATTTTAAACAAAGAAACTTTAAAATAACAGCAGATGTCTATTTTACCTACCTGTGCTCCCTTGATCAGAGGTACCGTTATATTGAACACTACAATGCGAGCTTGCACCCTGGAAACAATTGGGATGGGATGGGTCGGATCGCACAAAAAGTCGCCAATATGGAGCACATTGGGATCAACACCATTAACGGTCAGCGTCACATGGTCACCAGCAAAGGCTGTGGCAGATGAACCATTGTCTGCTTGAACACCTGCACCATTTAGAGACAAAAATTATTATTTATATCCTGGTTATTTAGAACATTGTTTAATTAAAATTCCATAAACCCTATATTTATTTTATCTTTCTTCTGGTATACATTTGCTGTATGAGGCATAAATAATTAAATTTAATTTTTCCTTCTGAAGATAGTTTCTACTAAAAAATACAATCCACCCATAAATATACTCAGAAAAGCATTTTTCATTTTACTATCTAAAGTTATTAGCCCACTATTATTTAATTATACCAGTTGTGCAATCTTTAAATTTCTATATTATGCTTAAACATTATGTAAATATTAAAGGTTACAACGAGATTAGTAGAATACAACTATTTTTTTATAAACTACTGTAAAGAAAATCCAATAAATGAATAAACTACATAATATATACATACAGATTATTCTCACCTTTGACATTAAGTACATCTCCTTGTGGAAGCAGCAGCAGCCGGTCATTCTGCTGGACATAGCCAGTATCAAGCCGTCCACTGACACACATGTTGGATCCCTGCCCTTTATAAACATCACTCACACACAGTCTAACTGGTCGAGAAATACCACGCTCTGGTACTTTTAACTTATCTGCAAATGAACAGGAAATACACATACAGGTAATTAAAGGAACTGGAATAATAAGCATTCTGACATTTGGCAAAGCAAAAGGAAAAATGCATTTTTATTAAGTGAATTGCAGCTGTCAAGAAAGAACAGCAAGGCAAGACAAGTTAACTTAACTGGGAGTTTACAGTCGTGCAATGTAAAGAAAGTATGTAACAAAAATGATAAATAGTAGATTTGGTACATGCACTCAGTGAATTTGTGGTTTATATTCAAGGCCAGGCTTTACCTGTTATAAGATTATTAAGACTGTTACTGGTGGTAGCGCACACAGCCATCACAACCTGGTTGATCAGGTACTTCCTGCAAAAACCTGCCTAGTTTCCTATAAAAAATGTAACCCTTGTTCTGGCAATACTTCTTAAATTTGCTGGATGTAGGATGAATAACAATGGAGCTTTTGTCCCCATACTACTGAGTTTTCTGATGGTTTTTATGATCCTCTACTCAGCACCGGGTTTATTCCGCACCATCTACCATCTCTCTCACTTCACTAAGTTATTTTACTGTGCAGATTAAGAATCTAACCTTTGTATATTTTAAATGTTTTCTCTTTGTTAGGTGCTCCTTTGCCCAGTTCAGTGTCTTCCTAATTGTCCAGGCCGCCTCATTCTCCTATATATAATATTGTACTAAGCACAGAATATTTGCATTGCCTTTGCCATTTCAAAATATCTTAAAGAGTTGGTCAGTCTCTTAAATGTTTTACTGAAATTCCTATTTAGCAGATATAACTTATGTAGTGTAACTTTCTAATGGATGCACTTGTCTGCCCTAATATAGAAGAGATTGAATCAAAACATACAATGAAAGCAGTTGCTACACACACCACTAAAAAACAGTGAGCAACTTACCAATTGCCTGGAGCAGTGTTGGGCCTGTATACCAGGATAATAATCTCTTTTCTGTGGTGGGTTTTACAAGATTTTCTCCAGTTAGACCTGAACATGGAATATACACAACGTCGATGTCCTTAAAGCCAACGGTCTTAAGAAACATCCGTAAATTATGCTTTATATCCTTGAACCGGTCTTCACTCCATTCAACAGAGTCCAATTTGTTTATACACACAACCAATTGTGAAACTCCTGAAAGATAAATTTTCATCATTGGTATCAGGAATATCAAAATATCTTGAGTTTAATAGGCTACATGGAAACCATTTATTATCATGCCTCTGAACCATTTTCTATTTTGACTAAACTATGTTTTTTGAGGTACGGACACCAAACAACTGCTGCATATTCCAATTTGCATCTCAGGATGTGGTAAAAATCTTTTAAGCTTATTAATTCCATGTACTGTACTTGAATGCCCTTCTGGAATTGACCAGTTAATGTGTGTGTACACACCAGGAAAACCCTGGTGAGCATGTCTTTACGTGCTAGTGCTTACCTATCACTAACTACAAAGAAATGACATCTAGCTCTTTATGCCCCGCCTGCTAGCCATTTATACGTGGCACATTACTTACCTCTCTCAACATTAATGCTTTTAATTAATATTGAGAGGTAATTAGTGTGATAACACCCTCATTTATTTTACATTAAGTTGTGGGTAGAATTGGCTCCAACAACCTCTTCCTTCCCTTGCCGACCACCCATACAGGAAAACGAGAACTTCTTTATATCTCATCCACTCAAATGCACATCCAGCTTCCAACGTTGTTCCTTGTCCTACCTCTTATTAATTTAAATGGACTTCCTTTATCCACCTTATACATCCCCTCAACGTACGTAGTTAATATACCCCCCTTCCCCACTGTTTCTTCTAAGGTTGTGAGGGTGAGTTCCCTCAATTTGTGCTCATAGCCGAGGCCTCTCAATTCTGGTACTAATCTAGTTGTAAACCTTTTTCCAGTTTCTGTTTATGCTTCACAAGGTGTTTGTTCCATGCTGGAGATGCATACTCAAGTGATGGTCTTACATAGACAGTGTGGATAGACTTGAAAGCCTCCTTATTTAGATTCTTAAGTGACAGTTATAGTTACAATTTAATCATAGTTGTCCCAGACAAATTCCTTCTTTTAAAAACGCCTTACAAGACTAATATATTGACCGAGTACAAGTACTTTGGTACACTATAAATATCTAATGTAATTGTACAATCTGATAAAAAGATTTAAATTACGACTAATGTACTTGATGATATTAGAAGGTACCTATTCTTTCAAATTACACTTAGATTGCGTACGATGGTAATTCTGTCTGTTAAAAGTCAAAATATATGAAGTACCTGTATCTAAAGAAAATACTTTTAATGCTTTTATTTTTATATATTATAAATTGTAAGTCATTCAAATTAACAGACGTAAAAAAAAATCAAGATAATCCTGTCTTAAAAACAAAAGCCAAAGTACTGACAGAATGAAAATGGCATTACATACCTAAAGACCTTATCAGAATAGCATGTTCCCTCGTCTGCCCACCGCTTTCAAACCCTGCTTCAAATTCCCCCGTGCAGGCATCAACAACTAGAATGGCGACATCGGCTCTTGCTGCTCCTGTGATCATGTTAGGAATGAAGTCTCTGTGTCCTGGAGCATCAAGAAGTGTTATTACTTTGGTTTCCGACTCAAATATTCTCTGGGCAATATCTACTGTTATGCCCCGAGCTCTGAAAAGAAAAATGAAATTAAAACATATAATCCTCCCTAACTAAAAGAACACACTGTATAGGTAAGCACACAACTTAATTAAAATTGCAGCAAGAAGTACACTTACCTCTCTTCATCTGTATCATCTAACACCCAGGCATACATGAAGGACTGTTTGCCAACTTTCTTGCTTTCTTGTTCATATTTGTGCATAGTTCTCTGACCAACATTACCCTGCAGCAAAAATAAAAAAAGATACAAAACAAAGGAATTAATAACTAGATATGGTCGATTCTCATGAGCGAGATAAAAAAAAAAAAGTATCCCTGGGTCAATAGCTCACAATGCAAACAGGGTAATATAATGAGTATAGAGGGTGTATTAACTGCAAGGAGATGATTAGTATAAGTGTAATAGGTACAGAATGGTGTACTGTAATGAGTACAAGGATCAATGAGCATAGGGTGATATATCAGTTATGTGAAGTGAAAAAATACAGGGTGGTGTAAAGGCACATGATGGTTTGTCTTCTGGTAGTGAAATCCTAGCTTTAGGGCTCCACCCCATAGCTATTGTACTTAGGGCATGTATACCTCCCAACATTCTCGTACTGTCATACATTCTTGAAACTGTGAACTGGAACAGATTCCAAGATCTCCTTTTCAAACACATTTCACTGTATTCCTGGCATTGTGGATGGTAAATAATGCAAGGCCTCTTCTAACAAATGACTACAATGTACATCAAAAATTAATTAGTAAATAAATACCAGTATATTATACAAGCCAAACTTACTCTGTAATGGCTAGTTATTTTATTCCAAATCACAACTCAAATACTGTATAAGTAACTGTAGTAGTATACATTTTGAGACAGATTTATATGGCTTATACATTGCACTGGATGTTAAATTAATGAATGAGATGTTGCAAGATGCTTGAAGTTTAATCCTACACGTAGCCTTTCATGACCTCACTGGAGTAGTGCTACCTCTGGTGGGGAGAAAGGAGGAAGTGACAGGGTGGGTCTTTAGAGTATTTGAGATAGTTTTGAGGCTGTGTTATAAATTCATATCAAACACATCTCGATGAGCATTTTGAGTTTTTATGGCCCTTTTTCAGTCTTTCTGCAAGTTTCTTTCTTAACTTCTTTCTGCAGGCAAACATAAGTGTGATGCTGTTAAATTAGCACAATATATAGTGTGATGTTTACCTGGAGGTACAAGAGATGCCCCATCAGCGTTGACTTGCCAGCATCAACATGGCCAACCACCACCAAGTTAAGGAGGTCCTTCCCACTCCCTCGTTGCTCCTTGTACTCTGACACCACATCTACAGGCTTGTCCCTGATTCTATTATATAAAATAAACTTTTATTAATAACACTGTTGAATGTTTTTCAATGCTATAGAATACCATCTAATGAAGCTTTACTGATTTTTCCTGATAGAAAAATCTGTAAATATTACTAGTACATTTGTTTTTTAATTCACTACTGCAAACTTTTTATTAATTATTATTAATTAATTAATCATAGTTCACAAAAGTATATAATATACTGGGTGGAGGGAGGGTGCAATAAACATCCTCTTCCTCTACCTTTCACTCAGAAATGAGTTATATACTCAGACAATTATAATTTAAAATGATAATGAGTGAAACTTAATAATTAGCAAAATCAACCACAGAAATGAATTGGACAATAAGGCAAGCTCATGCAGGGGAGGCGGCACGGAGAACAAAGATATAGAATATTGCACACATTTTCTAGAACACAAAGGAACCAACAAAAGGGTTAGAGGAAATAATGAACTATCAATATACGGTATACTAATTCTAGTAATATAAGAATGAAGCAGATATTTAATTTAACTCATAAGCTGAAGCATTCCCAAATGCAACCGACTCCAGTGTTCAGCAATGTAGTGCATTATTAACAAAAATTTCCTTGGAAATGTTCATATAAGGATATTTTTACTTTTATATCCAATTCAAATACCAGTAACTTATGAAAGAGGCCATATACAAAAGTCTTTACCCCATGTCAAGCTATAAACCAAAAACCCTTTAAAAACCTAAATGAGGAATTATTCAGAATACTATATACAGCCTACTTAAGTTCTAGAATATACAGATGTTTCATGGAACCTATAGAAACAAAGAAGCTTGAGGATGCTTAAAGACTGTCACGATGAAATTGCAGAAAAAGAAGGACCAAAGCTACTAAAATAAGCTAAGGACACTGAACCTAACATTACTGGAAAAAAGAAAAACCAAAGGAGAGACTGTTTTGCACAAGAAGAAAAAGAATGGGGGGGGGGGGCACATTTGAAGTTGGAAGCACAGATGAACCCGAGAGCCATAAAGAAGCACTCTGTGTGTGGGCAACAACTGCAATGAAGTAGAAAAGGAGGAAGTGCAAGTCAACTTTATTCACAGATTTAATTGTAAACATAACAAAGAACTAAAAGGTCAGGTGAAGCTCGATATGCACACACAATAAAGGACAATAAAGAGCCAAAGAATAGGGGGGGGGGGGTAGAAATAGCCTAAGGTACTCTATCCCTTTGAAATTTAATTTTTTCTTGTCTCAATAAACATACTTGAACTTGAGTTGAAGAGCCAAAGCTCAACCCCCACACACACAACTAGGCAGGTACGCAATAATGTAAACATACACACAAACGACCAAACATGTTTCTTTTATGCCTCTAATATACAATGCAAAAATTATTATACTGTAGCTTCATTACGTTTCTTTAGCTAAAGTACCAAAAGACATGACACTACTGTACATGTATCTCAAGATCCATCTTATACCTAGCAGGGGTTTTGGCTACTGTAGACACGTCTTTATCCTTCTCTTTCTCTTTATCTTTCCATCCACGTACAGGGGTTTTGCTGCGAGATCGCTTGCTCTCCTGCTCGTGTTGACCCACGTTATTCTCACATGTTGTGCTTTCTGAAAGAATAACAACTTTTAGACCATAGCTATTTAGCCCTAGGAAAAACAAAACAAATCAGCATTGAAATAACATGACATATTTTCCAGGTAAAGTATCCACACTTTGCATGTAGATGAAAAATTTCCCTCCAAGCATAGCACTCCTTTGCACTCTCAGGCAAGGTCCTGACATTCCACAAGCAAGACTATGTTTGTTGTAGGACAACATTTTGCACCAGCACAGCTGGGATCTTTTAAAAGGTCTCTATCCAATCATACCGATGCAAAGAATATTAAATCTAGCCTAGAATGACCTTCAGATTAAATAAACGAGTCAAGTTAAGCAGAGGCTACAGTTAGGGATTTGCGCCCAGTAAATCCTCCCCAGCCAGGATATGAACTCAGGATAAAGCACTCGCGGAACACCAGGCAAGCGTTTTACCACTATGCCATGGAGACTAACTATTAGTAACCCTTACTATTAATGTTAGAATCCTGTGAAATCCCTGTTGGTAACTAAAGCTTGACACACACACGAACCTTTATCATTTTGAACATGGAAGCCCCGCACCACTCGAGGAGTGCTGCCACCTGTCGCAGGAGTTGTTACAACTACAGGTGCAGAAAGCTGACTAGGAAGGGCTGCAGATGATGGCACCTTACAATTTTTTACCAATTCCCCCTTATATTTTTGATTTTGTGTTAGGGAGAGCTGCTTAACCCCTTCTGATGCTGTAAAAGGTTTTTCTGAAAGTAAACAAATGGAACATGTTCAAGTAACTGGAACATTCCAACAGCAGATGCTATTGAGAAAACTAAGTTCTGAAGTTAAAATAATTTATTGCTACTAAATACATTCGGAACGTGTAATTATATGGTATCAGTTGGTACATAGCATCACAAATACCCAAATAACACAGCAGCACCACACATTTACAATCCTCCACATCAGCACCACACTGCTTCTTAAGACCAGGCATACAATGTTCATAAAGAAAATTTTGTTAAAAAGCTTAGCATCTTTCCTCACCTCTAGTTCTAACCCGCTTTTCTCTCTGTGGGAGGGATTGTGCTGTCGCTGGTGATGATGACTTGTCGAGCAAAGCATTTAGAGAGGCATCAAGCTCAAACTTATTGGCTAAAACTGCTTGCGTCAATTCCTTTTCAGTATATTTGTCTCCCAAGATGTTCCGCAGCTCATCCAGAATTGACGCTAAACGAACCTAAAAAATTACACGACAGAAAAATACATACAGTACAGTACCTAATTCACACCAAGGATTTTGGTGTAAGCAGTTTTACATTTTATGATTTCATACAGGAAGTCAATATTGCACCATCTTTCCGGATTCACTTGACTTATTCATGTCTAATAATAAGTTAAGCCCACTTAAAAAGATTCTTCTGTCACACTTGTAGAGGGTTCAGTACTTTTGGTCGATGAGTAGAACTAGTGACAAGTACTGTAATGTACATGCAGAACACCATCATGCAGTGTTCTTTACATGCCTTTGTAAATCTTGCACTATGTCAAGTCTACAAAAATGTTCAATCAAATATTTGTTTGGACATTGGGATATAAATGGAGCATTGTACAGAATATAGCAAAGTACAGAAAAATATGTAGAGCATATACTAATATACTTAAGCCCCCATTTTCCCTTGCACAATCACACAGTAATATACTGTACAGTACTAATTAATAAATAGATTTAACAATGAGCAAAACTTTGAAGATACAGTAGCAGATTTATTCATTATCTTACAATTGAAATTTTGTAAGTTTTATTTAACTTTGCAACACGAACAATCAATTTTAAACTTACTGTGCTCAAATCTTTATATGTAAAACTACAGATTAATATTATTACAGTATTTACATGCTAAAATGAGAATAAGTCATACAAGTAAAATTTTGAGAAAGACAAAAGTTTAACTAAGTACCAAACATTATCCTCCACTCTACCTCATCATCTGGTGATAAAAGTGGCTTGGCGTAGCTTGGAGAATCGCGACAGTTTCGTTCTAAGGACACTGTCTGAAAAGGAAAACATTATTTTACTCAAGATCATATTTACAATTCCCGATATACGATCTACAATTGTGGGGGAGCATGTGACATGATCAACAGCATGGCTCATTATATATAAACTCGGCCACAAAATGTAAATCAATTTACTCAAGATCTCAGATTTTTATATTTAGTATAACTAAAATACTATTTTTTTTTTTTAGAGCTGGCTATCTTTGGTTATTGAGATATAATATTTAAAAAAAGTTGTGCCATCAGTATTTTTCAAAAATCAAATTCAAGTGGATGTAACTATATACAATATATAATTAATGAAGCTAGTGTCAGGTTTAGTATAATTAAAAGGACTTTCATGATTTATATGCTGTACAGTATATATAAAACCTATATATCAAAATCTCTCTCTCTATGTAAGAGAATGTATGCGTGTCTCCACAATAGGAAGCCAGACACTAGGGGCCAGCTTCACCAAACTAGCTTCACTGTGGCACGTGAGAAACTGATACATTGTTGGGAAAAAGATGAAGTACTGCCGATCATCTGAGAATGAGCAATAAGCCAACATAAAAATTTATCTACACACCATGAAAATTGGTACTGCACTGTATTAGAAGAGAGCAAAGCCCCAAAGATATGGAGACACCAGCAAAATTGCCACAAACCCCCTATACCTGAAAGGGAGAGCAGACACTACAGGTGAGGACATAGGCACTGACTGTTGTATAGGAAGCTTGAGATGAAGCCCCACCCAAGAATAAAGAGGGATAAGATCACAATAAATCCACCCCAGGCAAAATGTGACAAGCAACACATGGTCCTGGCAGTGGCAAAAGAATGCCAGTGCCATGTGGACATAATGTTCCAGAAAATGCTAACATTACCTAGCTAAAGCAAGAAAGTGATGTCCAACAGAGCCTACATGTGGCCAACCATCTGCTAGTGATCTGGTGCATACCTACCTACCTACCTACCTACCTACCAGTCAAGATATTTAACTGCCACAACAATTGTATGTCTTGTTTATCTGGAGGTGTCTAATTTCCTTCAAACATTTACTTATTCTGTTTTACCTATACTTTTTTTAGGGTTTTCCACTTTTGTATTCCATCGCTGCTCCCCCTCGTCTTACCGAGTGACCTAGATTCTGGTTCTAGTTCCCGGTAGATGACAGATTTGTTTTAAGAGTCCTGGTATGTTGAACTTGAATGATGCTTGGACCAGAGACCAGAGCTCAGCTTAAGGTTCGTCCCCCCAAAAAATTAATAAATTAAAGTCAAGAACCGAAGCTTCATTATATGTTGTAAGCTAACCTTATAAGCAGGGTTGTCAAAAGCTTCTTCTTCTTCCTTAATATCCTCTCCCGTTGGAAAATATTGACCAAATCCATGTGTATTTTCACGACTTCTGCTGTACAAATATTGTTCTGAAATATGATGCCCAAATTAATATTACACAAGAATTTTATCAAACAAATTTATTATAAAATGGGTTACAAAATAGCTTTAATAGCATATCAAGTTAATAAGTGTATTAATGATTGCAGCAGTACAGTACTGTATGGTAAGTTACCTCAAATGGACCAAATTGTACCAAAACCATTACGACATCCAAACAATTTCCATTGCATCCAAACTTTGATATTATTTTGTTATACTCAAGATTATTATGGGCAAAAGAGAGAATATGCTATTATGCTAATTTTGAACATGCGCGCACACACAGAGTTAATAAATAGTAAACATTAGTTTCCTTTGAGTTACACTGCCTAAACTCAACAGGAAGCAACATATTTTAGCTATCAAGCCAGTAAACAGGTACCTGGGAGTTAGACAGCTGCTATGGGCTGCTTCGTAGGGATGTGTAATAAAAAGGAGGCCTGGTCGAAGACCGGGCCGCGGGGACGTTAAGCCCCGAAATCATTTCAAGATAACCTCAAGATAGGTGTCAACACATTTGCAATACCTGTTAAGGTATAATCATATCCTTGGAAATGAACTATGATGCTTTGTTGCAAGAGGAAGCTTGATTTTTAGCCAAAGAAACAATAATGCCTCAATGTTATTATACCTCTACTTCTCAAGCAGCAAATCCATTTTCAAAGAAAACCCTACCACTGTACAGTACTGATACAGTAAAACCATTGAAAATTGTGGCCCTCCTACTCATCCAAACCCAATACCCAACTTAAGCTTTAAAAAATAATAACCAAAATATGTAGATTACAACAGTGCCACAAATAAAACAGTAGCTTACCTGTTCCTGGAGACAGCCCATAGTCACCTTCTTCAACTGAGTGGCCATACACATCTTCATCATGAGCATCATCATATTCTGCAAATTAAAAACAAATAATTTGTAAATACTCTTAATCTTCAGCAACAATCCATCACTTTAAAGCTGAATTTTCATTTGTAATTTGCTTATTTTGATATAACCATGTCATTATCCGTTTAAGACAGCCACTCCCCCTACCCAATACTACGAACTTCTATCTTCTTAACCAGTCTTTTGTGTGGCACTGTATAAAAAGCTTTGGTAAAGTTACACATCACAATCATTTTCCCAGACATTATGTCAGTTTATAATCTGGCTGGATAAAATCATCAGGAAAATTGATGGGGGCCTTTGACAAGCTGCCAGCTTCCTATCTCTGTTGAGACCACTGGAGATGGTGCCCTCAGGTAAATTGAGGCAAGTGCATGGAGACGTGACCGAGAAGTCATTATGAACTCTGGATCGGGTCTGGAAACCATATGAACCAGATGTAAGATCTGCAGTATATATAACCGTAAGTACAGTTGCAACAAAAAAAAACGTCAGAATTTATTGTACAACCATTAAAAAGAGAAGCATTCGAGGTGGAACTCCTAGACCGCAGCCACAATGCATGGGGGGGGGTGCAATGATTGAAACCCTGATTGGGCTTCAGTGGAAGCCTCAAATTCAAATGTTAATTCAGGTAAAGTACATACATACAAGGTGTGATACAATTATTGATGAGTTACAGATAGAGCTAGTACATACAATGCCTAAAGCCACTATTACGCAATGCGTTTCGGGCAGGAACCTTAAGAACCCTTAAGAGTACTACGGGGTCACCATATCCTGTGCTACTTGGAACTTTTTGTTCCAAGTAGCAAATCTAGAACAACAACAACCTTAAGAGTATTCAGTTGAATTCAAGGTCGTTTTGCTTTTGACCATGTGGTGGTGTAGTGGTCTAGGGAATGTGCTTTGGAGTACCAAGTGTGCCGGTTCGAATATCTTCGCAGCTCCTGCTGATTTTCTCATCGATACATTTTCTTTTTTTTTTGAGATATATACAAGAGTTGTTACATTCTTGTACAGCCACTAGTACGCATAGCGTTTCGGGCAGGTCCCTGGAATACGATCCCCGCCGCGAAGAATCGTTTTTACAACCAAGTACACATTTTACTGTTGAGTTAAACAGAGGCTACAGTTTAGGATTTGCGCCCAGTAAATCCTTCCCGGCCAGGATACGAACCCATGATAAAGCGCTCGCGGAACGCCAGGCGAGTGTCTTACCACTACACCACGGAGACTGGTTAATGTAATAGAGACATCACGTTAATGTGATCACTGTGCATTTATAAACCACAACTCCCCTAATCTAAACTAACTTGTAACCCGCACTATGGGCCTCCAGCACACACACCTAATCACCATTCCATGAAAAGTTGATCCTAAATAATATTGTCAAACCCTGTTCATCAACCACCACGAAGGTGACAAGTTCATCAACCCCGGGGCCAACCTCCTCGGGTTTAGGCCACACAACCCGCTATTATCAATAAGATTTAGTCAATCAATGTTTAAGTTCTTAAATGTTTGTTCTATAACCTGAGCAGAGTGACCCATGGAATGGTCCAGACCCAGGCCGCACACCTTAACATCTGTTCTACGCCCAATATGGGAAAGAACATTGGTCCAACAACATATTAGCTTTACCTTCGTCGTAATCTAATTTCCTAACGTCTCTATGCCGCGACATCTTGTATATGGAGTGTCAAAATATGTTGTAATATTCTGCTACGAGTCCTGCCACAGACCATGTTGGACTTGTCTCAAAGACTGTCTCATATTTTCAAATATATGTAAACTACTACCATAAAAGAAAGTTACAATCGAATAAACAACACTTTATTATGACTATAATTAATATTGGTTATAGCATGCGTGCGATAAATATTTAATATATTTAAATTAGTACAGCATAATGAAGCCAAAGACAAGGTAATATTAACCGTGCGGACACAGACGACAAGAAGCAAAATAAAGATGGCGCCTCAATTTCCGCGGGAATTTCAACCTTTAAAACATGAGGAGTGACGCAAGAACCTCACAGATAAAACAATTATTCGTTTAAGATCAATGTTTATACTTCAATAGACAAAAATTTTATTGAGCACTTCATATCCTTATCCTGAGTTGGACGACAGTGCAAATACATCTTTACATCCAGATCCCCTTTAAAGGGAAACAGCAGTGATGTCTGACACCATGTTGGAATCTGACCCAACTGTCAGTTAGGTCAACCCATGTAAAGCATTCCAAAAAATGTGCACCCATGTTGGAATAGATGAATGCCCAAAGAATATTGTTGAAAACATCTTGATAAATAATTTTTGTTTAATAAGTTATGTGTCACCTCACATATTTATAGGTTTGCTTTGGTTTGCTGCACATTTTTGGAATACAATACATGGCTTGACCCAACTGATACTTGGGTCAGATTCCAATATGGTTCGGAACATTTTTTTTTTCTCGAGTTGGATTGACCTAATATCTCCCTTTGCCTTTATTGAGTGGGACCAGGTTCTGTTTCTGGTCTAGGGTTGGTTTTTATGACTAACAAGAGCGGTGTGGTGCTAACAAGGTGGTTACCTCAGGAGGCAACCCCAGAAAATCATTTAACAACCTTGCTATCTCTTCTTCATCATAAATTGTTCCATTTTTTGCTGTTATTTGACCAACTGAGAGAGCTCTTATATTTTTTATGTAGCAGTTTCTACTTTCTCCAAGGCTTATATTTCTCATAGCAGTCCCCGTGGGGCAGCGGTAAGACACTTACCCGGTGCTTCGCGAGCGCTTTGGCTTGGGTTTGTATCCTGGCTGATGAGGATTGACTGGGCACCAATCCTTAACTGTAGCTTCTGTTCACCCAGCAGAGAATGGGTACCTGGTTGTTAAACGATTCAGCGAGTTGAATTCCAAGAAAAATTAGGATTAAGGACCTGCCCAAAATGCTATACATGCCAGTGGCTTCACAAAAATGTAAAAACTATTCTATATATAAATAAAAAATAAATAAATGTAACTATAAAATAAAATTTTACTTTGGTTAGCTCTTTCCGGCAATGTAGGATTCATAGCCTTGTTTGCCAAGCCTTTATGCCATAGCAGTACACATTAGAAAACTTGTACGAACTTCTTTCATGGTCCATCCATGTTATAATGCAATTTCCTTACTCATATTTCTACCTTGTCATATAATGCTATTTGCAACCATTGCAGGGCTATTGTGAATATATTACTATCAAATGTGCCTTACCCCTATGGTTTTCTTCCTGCCATTGAAAAGTTAAGTGGGAAATATCTCTGGCTAATTTACATATTGGCCACATGTAATATACTCATGGCCCCTTGATGGGAAAAAAAAAAAAAAAAAAAAAAAAAAAAAATTGTTAAAACTGCATGCTAGCAATTGATGACCTCCTAGCAAAATGTTTTGATTATGAGGATTAGAAATCTTGCTTTCTCAACATTTCTTAGTCATTTATTCCTCGCTAAATCTTCAGTGAATCTGATGACTTGAACATAACTTGTCTAATATTTCTTTGCTGTGGTATTGCCATCGTGAATGATAACTAGGATCTTTTTAATATTCTATGATGCAAACAATGTTATCTAATCCTCCAGTCTTTGCACCTCTTGGAAGTTACTTAATACTTACATTAAAAAGCTTTGAAATAAAAACACATTTTGTGATTTAATGTATATTATTATATAATAGATACAGAGTTGGACCAGCTCAAACACTGACAAACACATTTATCTTACCTTAAGATTCTGATTGTTTCATGCATCACAGGCATAAGTACAGTACCATTATTTGAAAGACAAGATTACGTCAAGACCAGGTCATTTACAATAACTTAAAAGAAAACAAAAAATTACTCTTATCTTTATTATTAACACATTAAAATATATATAAATATATATAAATATATATAAATATATATATATATATATATATATATATATATATATATATATATATATATATATATATAATAAATTTATTAATTTTTCAAATCCTGTAATAATCACACAATACAATCTGAAGTTTGTATCTGGTGTTGATGAGGTAAAAAGTCCCCATAAGACGTGAATACTAAAGTTGATCACCTCGAGCAACATAAGCATGTGTGTGTAACTTTAAACTGGCAGTATGTTGCCTACTGATAAGCCAATGAGGCGCTTATGGAGAAGATTAGACACTGCTTTATCTAGTTCCCTTAATTCTATGTAATGACTCTTGCACATTTAAATCTAGTTTAATTTGACCAGAACGTAAGCTTGTACTTGCAAGCATTTTAGAGTGACTAGACACCAAGGTAAGGCTTTCAATGTTAATTACTAAACTTTTGCAGTGGAGACTCTCAACTTACAATGTGCACCTGTCTTTCCTTTTCCACAGCATCAACACTTATCAGTGTAATATCTAATTCCAGTGAATCAATCTCAAAATATTTCAAGAAAATTATAAGTATTGTCTTATTTTTGTAATTACTTTAAAAAACAATGTCTGGACCACCTCTCTTCAAAATGTCTAATATAGAAACTGAATAAAACAACTATATCAAAACAGCACTACATCCATATGTGATAAATAGGATTTAAACAAAACATACAATATAAAATATATCATTAACATAAGCATAATTCGCCACTGGCTGAAGGAACCTGGTTTTTAGCATCAATGCCTACATAACCCAGAAATCAGATGAACCAGAAACAAACATTCTTGGCATCACAACCCATCCTTACATCTGTATACAATTTCTGTCTTAATAACAATACATCTGAGACAAACATTATGTATAATAACGTTTCTGATTAATACGATCTGAAATAATGAAGCAATTGATGTACAATTACCATCCTTCATGCTTGAAAGTCACGACCAGCTATGTGTTCCACATATACACACATTTCCTTTGGTCATACAGCACCATACAAAAATACAAACCCTCCTCTCTCCTAAAAAATATTCTATGGCACTCTGTAGTTTGTGCAGCTTCATAGCCTTTGTACTTATTCTTAAAAATAAAATAAAATAAAAAATCTGGTCATTTCCATGCAAAATTAGATTTTTTTTTTGTAAATCATAAATAAAAATAAGCAAAGCAAACCTGCAAATTTAGTACAGTACATGCTACAAAAACAAGAAGACTGATTGTGTTTCTTCTATCCAGGCTAATTATTTGCAAAATAGCATAAAGATGGCTAAAATACCCAAGATATTCGTTTTGCTGGAATATAGAAAGTTAATAGTCGAATGACAATTGAGTCTCCGTTCATATATCCCCATTTCTGGCTAAGCTAATGACACTAACCCACACTAAAAAGTCATATCACAGCTTACTAAATGAATAAATGATTAAGACAAAGAATAACACTGTTTGTGACAGTAATGCATGATCACAAAACTTGAAAGGCTTAGAACTTGTGATTTTACTTTATATGAATATGTATGTGCATGATTTTAAGACGGCTAACAAGTGACTTTGGGATAAGAAATATTATATTTAATCTGCATATAACACACCAAAAGCTACATAATAATATACAATAGAAAAACTATTCCTTATGTTTAACATTCAACATTTACATATTAATGAACATATGCAGAAACAAGAAATATTCCTATTGCTGACCTTCATTAATGAAAATAAATATGGCCAAGTGCAAATGCAAATCCAGCAATTGTATTTTAAGCACTTTAGGATGACATTTAATTCCTGAGCCCATTATGTGCCTCTGTAACCTTTTCTACTGCTGCTCACAGAATGAGTATGGGGTCTATTACTGCCCTTAAGATGTATAGGGTCCACTACTGCTCACAGGATGGGTATGGGGTGCATAATAAATGAACTAAGCTGAAGCTTTTAAGTAATTCACTTGGTATGTTTCCTCTAGCTTTAGTTAATGGATAATCCTTTTAATAAACTTTTCTCATTTTTGTGTAAACTGTTCTATTCTGCTCATGAGTTTCTCATTACAATGAGAGAGAATTGAGCAAACATTTCTCTAATTAAATTATGAAAAATGGAAATGCTTACTTTGATGTTGATAATACAGCTGCATTATTCAAATGACAAAAAAGCTTACCCAAAAATACAGCTGTCAAAATTCAAGTGGACTTGGTAGACACATTTGGGAAGGTGGAAAATTTCAGACAATAGCTTGATATATATATAATCTAGAGGATGATCCTACAAAGTCATTATATGGAGAAAGTGCTGATACATCTGCCATTTCCTTCAATCTGGTTTAACTAGTAGTTTATAGAAGTGCAGCAGGTGGATGAAGAATGTGAACCAGATGCTAAGTATCATTAGACATTTATGACTTGACTTGCTTAAATGTAGAACCATGTTATGTTTCAGTTTTTGTGGAAGTGATACTTGCTTAAAGAAACATGAATTTAACCCCACAAAGTGGTCAACAAAATAAATACAGTACATATGAATATCTAAAGTAAATTGTAAAAAAAAAATTAAGTAAAAATTCTCAATTATAACCAATTTTAAATACTGTACTGTAAACAATATCTACCAAGAACAATAGAATAGCAGTTGATTTGATGGGGAAGTCAAGAACATTTCAATTAAAAAATAAAGAACAAATGAATGAAGATGGGGAAGATACGGCTGAAGCCCCTAGCTCATATATGCAGGTCTGCCATGAATTACAACTATAGCCATTGTCAAGATGGAAGAGATTACAGATACATGTAAGCTGAAAGCTAATAAAGTAGACAACAATGGATAGAAATAGAACCTAAGTAGAATTTTTCATTCTGATCTGGAAAGTAAATAAATATGTTGTTATTTTGACTGTAGAACATCAAGTTCCAAGTCTTTGAAAAATAGCCAGTTACCATATATCTGAGTAAAGACCTTTTATATATAATAAAGATTAATTCATATTGCATGAACAACAAAAAGAATTAGTAGCTTTGGCAGATTTAAAAAATACAAAAGGATGGTTAAGAGGTGAAATATGCTTTAATAGAAATTCAGACGTGTTTAGAAAAATTGAAACATGTTCAGAGGAGCTTTGTGAGCATTAACTAGTTTAAACAATTATTTCTGCCACTGTATCCATTCCTAAAATTGAAGCCTTAATATTTATTTTACTATTATTAATAATTAGCCAATAAATTTACCAGTGCTGAAGCTATATTGTAAATGATCATACGCTTGCAAAAGATTTTAAAATTGTCTGATAATATAAGCTTGCCAATAATACTACAGCAACAAAAACATTCAATAAATGTAAATATGCTAAAGACAATATACATTAATGTACAGTCAACCCATGCTCTGTGTGAGGTTACAATCTTGGAAAATCTAGCTCAAAATGAACTTAATTTGCTTCGGTAAAAACTGGGTTAGGTTCCATCGGCTTTTCTAAAGTTCATGGAATCTTATTTCATTTTAATTTATTCTTCAATATTTAGGTATATAATGTTCAGGTAAATGTTATATTTACCTGAACATTATTATTTAATACTCTACCACTTCCTAGTCACACTACAGAACATAATGAAATGTGAAGCACTGATGCAAGCATTTAATATAACAATTGCATAAAGCACAAGATAACTGTGAGGAGTCATGAAGTCAGAATGTGGTACTCAGTGCACTAAAACTACAACTTGGGTGTACAAATCTTACGCTTCAACTTGTGATCAGGTAAACCCACCACTGTGCAATATGAACTTTGGCCTTAATAAAAATATATGTATGTCCAAATTCACGTACTACATACTCATGCAGAATGAGCATCTACAGTACTGTACATAATATGAAATACCAAAAATAGCTTTCATTAAATCTCTTAATCATTAATTCTCATTTACAAAATTTAAACCTCACAACATTATTTTGTAAATAACTTTCCTGAGGGTGAATTAGCAAGGAGGCAAGATTTTTAAAGTCAACTTTTTCACTTAATGTAATAAAATATTACATAAGTGTTCTTAAACTTGAATGAGAAATGTATATATTACACACACCATTAACTCCACTCCTGCACTACCAGCTCCTGCACCACCAGCCACACCATCAGCTTCACTATCAGCTCCACTCCTGCACCACCAGCCACACCATCAACTTCACCACCAGCCACACCACCAGCCACACCATCAGCTCCACCATCAGCCCCACTCCTGCACCACCAGCCCCACCAGCCCCACCATCAGCTTCACCATCAGCCCCACTCCTGCACCACCAGCCACACCATCAACTTCACCACCAGCCACACCACCAGCCACACCATCAGCTCCACCATCAGCCCCACTCCTGCACCACCAGCCCCACCATCAGCTTCACCATCAGCCCCACTCCTGCACCACCAGCCACACCATCAACTTCACCACCAGCCACACCACTAGCCACACCATCAGCTCCACCATCAGCCCCACTCCTGCACCACCAGCCACACCATCAGCTTCACTATACCCTTTATCATTATCAGCCCCAAGTTTATAACTATTTTTGTCCCAAACCCATTATCTTCCTTCAAAATGTATAATTAAGTAGTTATATTTGTGACATTTTGTAATGAATCTGTAAATGATTTAACAAATGTTTTTCAAAAAGCATTACTACATAAAGCTTCTATTACAGCAGCAGATGAAACATACCATTACAGCTTAAATATAAAAGTTAGAAGAAATAGCAAATCCTAATCAGGCAAAAGCAAGAATTTAATTAGGAAATTATGTGATAATATGTAAAATAAATTAAAAGAAGTTTTTCACTCGGTATTAAAAAAACTTTCTCCTTTGAATATTATAAATACAGGATGTAATACTGTATATAACTTCACAAAAATGGTTTGACCTTCATTCTTTGATTTATTTTATGTAATCATCTAAGTGATAATATGAATCATTACAAACAATTAAGCTTCTTTTATATTTATAAATAATGTAAATTCATGTTCAATTATACTGCACTTTCATAATATTTCTTGAATTTAATCAGAAAAGATCCTAAAGTGTTAAGAGTTTATTTCAAGAAAAGTTAAGCCTCTATATTACTAATTTGAAGTACGTACTGTATTGACATTCTGAATGAAAAGCTTAGGTAAGGTAAACAAACTTTGCAATAATTTACAAATTTTCAATTCTTCCTTTACTCAGTTTTATGATGAACAAATAGAAACTTAAGTATCCTGAGTTAATTATCTTGAGTTACAATTGTAAAACAGCAGATCAAAGAATGTGATGAAGTGTAATTTATACTTGTTCCTAATGCTAGTATGCAAATACCAAAAGAAGTGAAAAATAAGGAATTTGTCTCCAGGCACCAGCAACGGCAGGCATGCACTCAAACATTACCACTACAGTACAGTGCCAAGTTTTGTGCCCACCAATTTTTTGAACAACTGACAATGGACGACCGGGCCGCGGGGACGCTAAGCCCCGAAAGCACCTCAAGGTCAAGGTATGGAGGTCTTTATTACTGCAGAGCAATTAACTAAGTTAATCCCTTACTACTGAATAATACTGAAGATATTTACATAGTTAAAGATGTGGCTATGAGTGATGAGTGATGTAACTTAAATTAATACAACTGATATGGACTGGAAATAGCTAAATTAACTTGGTTATTGTAAAGATGATATTTATAACTTAATAAATAAGAAAATCATTCTTTACATACAGATCATTAATATGATACAGTATTCATTTTCTGGAATAGTATGCATAAAATAATATTCATCTTAAATACATAAACTAATCTTGAACATCAAAATGATGAAATACTGAATAAAAAACTTAAGTTTCTTATTAAGATATTCAAAACACCCTGTAACTGATAAAGAATACAGTACATGTAAAATAAGGGGGCAAAATTGCAGCCTCCTACTAACAGAGGTGGATATCCAGAATCAATGATGTTTATTTGAAATACTATGGTTCAGTCCCTGAGCCCATTATGTGCCTCTGTAACCATTTCCACTACTGCCCACAAGATGGATATGGGGTACATAATAAATGAACGAAACTAAACTGCCAGTAATATAATATGAGAATTCAAACTGGCAGCTCGGAAATTCTTTTGGCATTTTCAACACTCCCAAAAATGCCCTTTAGCTAATTGAACTTGGCTTTCATGTCATCCTTCTATTCCCAACACCAGCTCAGCAGGTAAAAATCAAGTGTTGACTGTAATGAAACATCTTTTTCTGTTGGGTGTCAGTAGCTTTCCAAGTTTAAGTGCTGGTACAGGGAAGTACCAAGCCTCTGTGACCTATGCTGGCCTATCATTAATTAGCCAAGACCAGAACTGGTTTCACCCTATGATGTGAGGGGTAGCCACATGATCAGAGATCTACCCAAGACCTACATAAAATGCACCAGAAAACATAAGTAAAACAAAACAAGTGTTTACTTTAAGGAATAGATGAACCCTGAGGTAAGCAGTCGTTGCTGTGGGCAACCAACCAAACCACTCGTGCACCTGACCACCATCAAAATCTCCCATGGTAAAGAAGGAAATGGTGATCTACTGAGGGCCCCACAATTAAGAATTGTTTAATTACATTCAGTTTCTGGGAAGGCCTCCTCAGTAGATGCATGAGCCTACTCCCAATGATACCTTTTTAGAGGAGAAGGGGTTTTGAGAAAAGAAACACATCATTAGTTGTAACAAAAGTTGTAAAGAGCTTGCCTGTGGTAATGGATGACAGGAGAATAAGGCCCACCATACAGGAGCAACAGCTGTGTGCCAAGTACCCGAGTGCCACACAGGTGTGGCACTTGGGAACATCTGGATGGACTGTTCAAAATCCTTGAGCCCAGACATCAGTAGTAATTAAAAAAAAGGCAAGCAATGCTGCCAAAGTACTAGTAGTGAAGGATACCCACACCATGGAAAGGCAGAACACAGCCAAGCACCGGTCAACCCAGAACAGCCAAAATAAGGATCCACTGGCATGAGATGGTGGAAAGAGGGAAGCCGTCCCCATGACGAATGAACTGGATTAGATTATAACTTGGATGAAACAGCAATGATTACCATGGGTGAGGAAAGAAATACCCTGATAACCAGACCTGACCCCAAGACAGGACCCTAAAGGACTCCACGATCAGGACACCAGCATGAAACAAACTTTTGGGAGAAAACAACAAGACATCCAAAGACCAGGAACCAAATGTTAACCTCAATACCAAGTAATAAGGTAGCCAAGGGGAAGCACACCACCTCTGGAGGAGTAGAACCCTGACCCAGAGGGCAAAAAAAACGGAACTTACTTCACCAAATGAATGACAAGGGAACCAGGATATCTAGGAACAGCCCCATGAACTGACAACCTGATTAGAGGGTCTGATTGCTCATGATTTTGACAAGGATCAAGCCCTGGACAGAGAAGGACAATTAGGCATCAATCCTTAGCAGCTCACCCAGCAGTAATTGTGGACCTGGTTGTAAACTGATTGGGGGTCATGTTCCAGAAAAATCTAAAAGAGCAAGGCAAGGCAGGCAAGGCTCTCCCTTCCCACAGCTTGGGGAGAGCTCTAAGCCTGCTAATAAGATTTAGAAGTTGTATGCTCACTGCCATGTGAAACTCTGGAGGATGACCATTTACAAATGCACAAACTGAGAACTGACGAGGAAAAAATCTCTTTTCAAAAGTGGGAAAAGGGGGAGTTCCTTAATTCAATGAACTCAAAAACTGGGACCACAGATTACAGTCAAAATGTGGGAACGAACCTGAAATCGACAGGGGAAACCAAGGAAACATACCAAGATCCTACTTCCCAAAAGAATGGCAAGATCAGGATACTTAGGAACCACTGCTCTAGGTATTGGCCACCTGACTAGAGTCAAATAGCTCACATTCCCATCAACAGGTGTTGCAGGGGAGAGCAAGTCCAATGTGCTACCATGAAGCGAGGTGACTCAAGAGGAACCAACTTGTAGAGAAGGAACCTGAACCCCTCAGGAGCATGTACCACTGTTGGAGCAAGGAAAACACAAGCTAGGGTTATCAGGGAAAGTAATCCTAGTTCAGAGTGCCAGCAAAATAATGGCCATGGCACACACAATGTGGCGGTACAAAACATAATTGTGAAGTACAAATGGAGCAAAGGAAGCAAAGGCCCTCAGGACAACTGTTCCATGGATAATCATACCACTTGGCTGAAAACAATGTAGCGTAATGGACCATGCAGAGCAAAATGACCTCGGCTAACACTAAGCAAGTGAGGTGGCTGCCTGGCCAGGACCCAGGGTGAAGTGGGCCACCATCTTTTGTGATTGACCCTATCAAGCTTAGTGTTGTTCACATGTGGCAATTTGCGTTGTTTAAATCAGGGTTCGACCATTCCTGCAAGCAGTTATATTTTTGTTTTATCTATTCTTTTTGGTGTCTTTTGCCCTTGGTTTTAGGTAGATTTTTGGTCTTCAGGCTTCACTTATTTTGTAAGCAGCCAAATTCTGGTTATGGTTGTCAGTTAATAGGAGCAGATCTCAGAGGTCTGGTGTAATTACTAATACTTGGCAGTACCAGTGCTTTTGTTAAGGTAGCTATTGAGAGAACCATAAGAGAGATTGTATAAAAGTCTGCATGAAATAGAAAACTATAAGTCTTGAATTATATATAAGTCTGTGTGTATTTCAAGAAAAAATTATTTTTGATGTGTAGAAACAGGAATTCAGAGCTAATATCAATATTACATGCATATTTCTGTATGTATAATAATGACTGTCTTAGTAAATATTTGATCAAAATATAATTCCAAATTATAGTCAGTTTGCTTATATTTCTAATTTATATTTACTGGCATTCCTTCGTCATAAAAACAAAATAACAAAATTCAGAACTTGCTACAAAACGTGCTGTTCACAAATACTGTAGCAGTAACAGTGGCAGTGATAAGTAGTCTTAAAAGTAATGTAGCCCAACTAGAGTGCTTCACCACTGGCCTTTCCAGCAAGTACTTGTGTAAACTCTCTCTAATAATCTTTCTTTACTCTTTCATACATAAATAAACATCATTAAATTTTCCTTTCAACTATTAGGGCCTACCATGTGGTTCAACTCGTACTCATTTACTGACTCACTCTATCACATACCCAGAGACATTTTTTAAACTCTATTGTCATCTTCTTAGTTTGGTTCCATGAGATGTTTGTATTTTCATAACTTGGGTGGATCCTCATGATTGTGATTCTTGTCAGGCCGTGGAGGCTTCTGTGGCGGCTCAGGTGGTATATCCGAGGGGAAGACAAACTGTTGACATATTACTGATTAGGTTTCCTATTATTAGATTTCCTCAATGATTAACAATTTAAATATGAATATAATGCATGTTTAAAAATATAAGCTACATTCTAAAAGTTGTCTACTTATTAATCTTTTATCTCTCAACGATTACAGGGCATTTTTAAAGAGAAAATACAGTATTTAATTAAAGAGAGCCAGAATTGTATCTGAACTTTTTGCTATACTCTGACTGGATTTTACTTAACTGAGAAATTGTAGAGCTATAGTAAATTATTAGTATCCATCTCTTAATTATATCAGTTATTCTTTCATATCACATTTTATGAGCTGTTGAATGTACAGTAATTCACCTAAAACCACATTCGTTGGAATATTACACCAGAGCCAAGCTGCCAGTAGTGTCAGTGCAAATAATCCCAGCTGGGTATGCATCATGTAAATTACACAGATTTTACCTAGCTAAAAATGTGGTTTTTAGGTTATACTGAGTGAGGCTGTGAGTGATCTTGGCGCTGATATACCTGATCCAGCACACAACAGCATGCAGTGGCAGCCTACACAATTCATACTATGTAGGCCATAGACAATAGGGCCTACAACCTTGTAATTAAGAAAGCAACACAGGTATTGAAAGATATGTCATAGGATTATTAGTGTGTTGGTGTGGGATGCTTATCTAATATGGTACTGTATATGAGTTTCACCCACTTTCTCGTGGTGGCTTCATTGTTACAGCATTTGTGGTGGGATTGGAGGAGGAAGAGGCAGTACCCAAATGTATCAAGGTACACATACTAATTTTGTCCTTTATTTTATAGTACTGTACTGTAATTTTAATATTTTTTTCCATTTTAATAAATTTATTAGCTACTGTATTTATTTCGTTATATCTTGGACAAAGCATTTTCTTTTAGTATGTGTTTACCCTTCAGTTTTTGTTGGGCAGCAAGACCCAACCCCAGTCCCTCCTGGGATACTGCTGCACTTGGTGTGTTACAAACCAGCACCCCTTTTTGAGATGGAGGCAAACCAGACAAAACAGCAATAGAGGTTACTTTAGGAGGGAATGGATGTGGAATTAAGTGTGTGTGTATTGATGTACATAAATGGAATAAATAAGGATAGCAAGAGAAGGATTGAAAGTCAATTATATAAATGATATGATGATAAATGATTAGGTGTGAGAAAATGGATCTTAATATGAAGTGTGTATGGGATAATGGGGAAAACAAAATTGTTGGAGTTTGAGGGGAGTTTAGTTGTATGGTCAGAAATGTATGAAAACTATTGAGGGTAAAAACGACAGAGTAGCTTTGTTTATATCAGAGAGACTGAGAGTATGTTTGAGGATGTGTGTGTTAATTCAAGATTATGTTGGATTTAATATAGGATAAGTAAAGCAAGATATATATAAGAGCATATGCTCCAGTAAATAAGGAGAATATAATATGAAAAATAAATGGATATATTTTGAAATGAATTGAACGAATGTGTGAAGAAGCTACAAGATAGTAGGAAAGTTATTTTATTGGAAATATGAAAGGTAGGGTGGGGAATGAATGCTTAGTAGTTGTACCTGCAGTTGGAAACTGAAGTGTCAAATGTAAATAGTCATGACAATTTCTTAGTTCCTGTGTGTTTGGAGGGGGTTTGTTTATTTTAAACACTTTCTTAGGCATAGGTTCATTCAGTTATACACAGAGAGGAAAGCAAGGGCAAGAAATGGACCTATCGAGATGGAATGATTATATGCATGTTAATAGAAGGTATAATAGTAGTATTAAAAGATGTAAGGGAGAGGAATGAGGAGCGATATGGATTAAATTGAAGAAGTAAACAAAATATTGCAAAGTATTTTGATGTTGCAACTTCTCTATTTGAACAAAATGTAACAATCCTTAATAATGCATCTTAGTAGCAAAAAATTAAATGAATATCTTCTAATGCACAAACAATAACTCTTAAGAATAGTTGTAGAAAACTTAAATTGTACTCACTTTAGCAGCTTGAAGTGACATGGCACTTAGTCTGAAAGAAACACTGTCCGAATCCTGATCACGCATCTTCACAGGCAACGGAGGTGGGGCATCCTCCTCATATATTGAACCGGTTGGTGTGCTCACTGTGATAAAACAACAGATTTTTCTCATATTTGAGATCTGGAATTTATTAACACTTAAAAGCTCTGCATTATTTCTAATAATTTGCAGTAAATTTTTCCTACAGCACTTAAAGCATTCAGCAGAGAATTTCTTGGCAAGTAATGAGAATTATTGATAAGCTTTATTTTATATCCGAAATGCACACCAGTTTAAAAACCCTACTTATCCCCTGCACATAACTTCTTGCACATGCCAATTTAAAAAACTATACCCACTACCATCTGCACCTAAATCAGTCTTATAAAATCCCTCTGATAAGATGATCAAATGAATGTACCCATTTACTGCTTTGAAAAATACTTACTAAGACTCTCTCTGGAACCCATGGATGGTGAAGGAGTTGCCGACAGGGATGAGCTCATGGTGAGAGAGCGTGGCCGTGACAGATACCCTGCTCGGTCTGAGTCTATTCTCTTAGGGCGTTCAGGTGTCACCTGAACAAAATATGATAAATGTTATGCATGATAAGGAGTATATGAACAATTCTGTGCTGCAGAGAAAATTATTACATAAATATGAAATGCATTTATTCCTTATAACAATTACATTTTGTATTTGAGTAGAGGAGACACTCATGGCATCGAACAGCAGAGCTTTGAACAACGTGCATTTCAAACAAATTAACCAATGGACTGCAAAGAATGCTGACTTACTACTCAGCACCTCCCCTGATTGACCAACCAACCTTCAAAACGACCACCCACTAACAAGACCCATATCAATGGTAAAGATGAGAGGGGTCATCAAGAGTATTCACAACAAGGCCCCAGATCCTTCGGGGCTCAACACCAAGCAGGTCAAACTCCTCCCAAGTAATCTCCTGCCCTCCTTACTAAATATATTCAATAGCCATGCTGGCATCTGGCCACATTCCCGTTCCCTTCAAAACAACCAAGATGATGTTCATTCCCAAACTCAAGAAAGACTCACCAACCTGTCCAACTGACTCAACTACTATATGGAGTACAACAACCTTACAGTAAAAAAGAAAGGGCCTTAGATCACACCACTCGACCCAGCATGCAATGAACATCATCTGTGATGCAGTCAGCATAATGCACCAGCAAAATCAGATAGCCCTGACCACAATGAGTGACACACACAAGGCCTTTGACAGCCTATGGCATGACTGCCCATTGAATAAACTAGCAGACTTACCAGCTCAAAACTGGACCCTACTCAGACTGGTCAGGAACTTCCTGAAGAAGAGACAAGTCACCCCTGTTTCAACGGGAAAATGGCAGCAGTCTTCTCCCCGACAGCTGAAGTCCCACAAGGGATGTGTCTGGACCTGTCCTCTTCAACATTTTCGTAAATTACCTGCCCCAACTGGAATACAGACACACCATCATCGTCTAATTCACAGACAACGTCACCTATGTAATAACCTCTAACCCAAGTAGTCAAGCAACCAAACATGCGACGGTCACAAGAAAAACAAATATAGAACTCACCCGGACTGCGTACTGGGAAAGAAAATGGAGGATCACCATTAATCCAGACAAAATCCAGAAAAGCACGATCGGTTGCATGGCCTACATAATTGAAAATGAAGGTGGTGTGCAAATCAGGGATGAACCCATAGCCATCTCAAATTCCAACACAGTGCTTGGGTACAACTTCTACAGACTACTCAACTCCACTCAGTACGCCTCTGAGAAGACAGCGACAGCAAAGGTGTCCCAGGCGAAGCTCTTCAGCTTCAGACACTTATACATAGCAATATAATCATAGAATTTTTTACAATCCTTTGGCACAATACCACTATTCAATGCCTACTGGTAAACTCTCCACACTGGCTGTATCCTCTCATATTCCCTGCATTAGATTTCACCATACTTCACCAAAACCTGTAATTTTACCATATTTTGGCTCTTTTTCTGATAAAATGACCTCATTCTAGGTTCTATTTGCTGGTATTCTATCTTGCACTAAACATGTTCACATTTGCACTTCCTTCATCTCTTTCACCCATCACATTCTCAAAATATTATCTCTATCTACTTATCTTTAATTTAACCACTGGCTTTTCCACCAGTCACTTTGCTGCACTTAATAATTAGATTAAATTTTTAGAATGAAGTGAATTTTAAAGTTGTTGGTTAATTCCACAAAGTTCTTCACTACATAAATAATACATACATAAATGATTGTGCAGGTTCCAGCACTGTACATTGAAATGAACAGCAATCATGTTATCAAGATTTTTAAGACAGATATTCTATAAATTCCCACATAACATTAATGGTTAATAGGAGCTTTCCATGTTAGTCCATCCTAATATTAATCTTTTATAAATACTGCACACAACACAATAACCAGCAAAGTTAGTATGAATAAAAATGAACATTCATTGTTAGTATGTTGAGGATTTTTATATATATATATATATATGTATGTATGTATTCACCTAGTTGTGTTTGCGGGTGTTGAGCTTTGCTCTTTCGACTTTTGGTGTTATGTGTGTGTGTGTGCGCGCGTGTAATTACCTAAGTGTAGATACAGGATGAGAGCTACCCTTGTGGTGTCCCGTCTTCCCAATACTGTACTATTTTTTGTATAACGCTTTGAAACTACTGCCGGTTTTGGCCTCCACCACCTTCTCACTTAGTTTGTTCCAACCATCTACCATTCTGTTTAAAAAAAAAAGGTTTCTAATATTTTTTTGGCTCCTCAGCTATTATTATTATCTACTATTGTTATCCATTGTGCCTCCAGCATCCGTCTTGTTGGGTCCAGTGTCACTTCCATCCAGTGTGTAATCAGTGTTAGGTCTAGACTTTGATCATATATAAACCTCCTTGTGTTGATGCCTAACATACAGTGGCTTCGTTATTACCCGTGCACTTTGGTATACTGTCTATGCTCAATAACATGAATTATATGGGGCCCACCCTATTTGAGTTAGCTGGACATTTACATAGAAAGCCCAATTATATAAATATTAAATTTATTCGGGTTTTTAATTCACCAGAAATCTTGGTAACCCAAATTATTAATCTAGTTGAACAGTCAAAAACCTGAACTCAAATTTATTATGATTACCCAAACATTCGAGTTACTGGAATTTGGATTACTGAGCTCTTACTGTACTGTATGTATTTGCAAGACTTTGTTTCCTATTCCACTAAGGTGCAGCATAAGCCCATTTACAGCAGTAGGCATTCTAGTTTCCACTGATGTTTGCAGCCCACAAATGCCCACAGCTTGAGTCTGTTTACGTGTTTAGGAGCCAGCTTTGTCAGTAGCTGCTGGGACTGCTCAATTTGAGAAATGTTTGGAAGCAACAGAACTGTTGACCCACTCGTTCACTCTCTCTCTCTTTCATGAATAAACATATTTTATATTATTAGTATAAAATGTTCAATGCATTACTTTGCTAATCAAACCATACAATATTTTTATTATAGGTGAATATTTAAAACCCAAGACACCTGCCTGCAGGTGGCAGCAAGCTTGATGCGAACATGTTGATAGCGTTAGATGCATCATGCATACATGAACATATTTTTGGACACCTACTGGAGCTGTTACCTGCTCAGTTAACTCGAAGATTGGCTGAGGAGGCATCATCTGGGAGTCTGTCCGATCAAACCACTGTGTTGATGGCTCACGCTGGGAAGAGAAGCTCTCACGCCGCAGCAACCGGCTATCACACAAAGAAAATTAAAGTACCGTACACATATATACATACAATATATATAGTGTAGTTCATCCATATTTGGATAGTGACAAAAAGTGTTGTTGTTTTGGCTGTGTATTCTAGCAAATTGGATTTTTGAAACAAAACAATGCCTATAATGTTGAAGTGCAGGATTTCAGCTTCAATTTTAGGGTTCAATGGAACCTAGGTACTCAAACTTAAATGGTTCCTGAAGGTGGGTCGAGTGCCAATTTGTTCGAGTACTGAACAGTTTTTCCCATTAGGAATAATGTAAATTGGATAAATCCATTCCAGACCACAAAAATAAATGTAGTATATTAATGCAATAAATAAGGTGGTGGTGAGGCAGAGGAAGAGAGATGTTATTCTTTGGCAGAGGGTGGGGGGGTCCCTTACCATTAACACACAGCTTTGTCAGGATGATATTTTTTACAAAAACTTTGCACCCCCCATTTTCCACACATTTCTTTTATTAGAGAACTAGATTTAGACATACCAAACTCAGTAGCAAGATCAGATACACAAGCACCACTTTCATATTTTGCTATGAGGTCTTTTTTCATCTTAATCTTGGTTATAACTAATTTTCATTTTGCTTGGCTCTTATCATAACTTTCACTAACTTTCTTAGGTGCCATGGTGACTTATTTACACCAAGAATATAAAAAGATTCCGAAGGTTTAGGGCAGTCTAGTGGTGTTCTGCACTGAATGATAGCTATTGCAAAACTGACGTCAGGGATGCATGTTTACATGTTAGTGCCAAGCAAACAGTCGACTACCGAACATGAACACATTTTTTTTTTTTATGAACACAGCGTTCAAGTGCCGAAATGTTTGAGTTGGGAGCTGTTTTAGTACTGAAGTTTCTCTGTACTGTATTACATCCATATGAAGTGAACTGTGTAGGAATTACAGCCCCATGTTATACAGAGTTGCCCCATTTCATGGGGACATCTGGCTGCTGAACTGTGCACAAGTCACTGTAAGGGGAGGGTCCAAGCCATTAACAGCCTATACAGAGCATATTAATTAATTAAATAAACTGAATATTTCTTGGTGTTATTAGCATTTTAAATGCCTTATTTGTTATTGCAAATTTGTCTATAATTCCATGAAGAGGTAACATATGTTACAACAATTGTATCATCGTGTCTACTGAAAATTCTTAGTAGGCACAGATGACTTACCATCTAGTTCCACGTGCCAGAACCCACATTAAAGTATGTTGCTTCTCAGCCAACTATATATTTTGACTTTCATAAAAGAAAGCAAACTAAACTAACAGTACTGTATTGTTTAAACTCAAAAAATTATTGCATATATACAGGGCATCTAAATTCAATGGATATACTGTATGGAAATGATTAATGAATATATATTATAGATGAATGAATGAAAGTCATGTTATAAACATTTAGTGTATTTAAAACTTGAGACCCTTACCACACGTGAGCTCAAATGATACCCCCTGAATACTTAAATCTGGCCATTATACCACTACATCACCACATAAGCTTTCACAATGTCAAGTAACAATAAGGAACTGGTGATATGTCCCAATTTCACTACAGAGTGACAGTACATTCAGTTTAGGGTCTGCCTGTGATAGTTTATTGTACATGAAATTTAAATGCAGTATGTATTTTGCAGTATTATATTGCAACAAAACAAGTACTGTTAATGAAAAACAACAATATACAGCTGTTTGTTCAATGTTTGAGACTTCATAGGGTGTTTGCCCGAAATGCTGTGTGTGCTAGTGGCTTTACAAGAATGTAATTTCAACCTAAACTCTATGCTCTCTGTTAACCCCAATGTACCTTCTTGTATATATATAAATAAATAATAAATAAATAAGAGTGTAACAAATATTAAAAATAGGGATGTACCTGAAACTTTTCTCTTTCTTGGCACTTTTTGAAGATGACCCATTGCCAATGCTTGAAGAAACCTTGTGATGTCGAGGCAATGTTCCTGGATAACCCTTTCCTGAAGTACTTAACCTTGAAAGGGATGACTGGGAAGTTGATAACGACATTCCCCTGAAATAGTAAAGAATGGTATCAAAGTTACATTTCTGAATTACACCACCTGTATCTTTCAATGTGTTAAGCACCAAAAGAGTGACGGGCATTTACATGTATAGTCTTTCCATAGCATTTTGAGCCCATAGTAATTTCTATATTTATAATAATAATCCTGAGATTATTAACTAAGAGTGGAACCTAAAGATAAGAAGAGAAAATTATTTTGAATTAACTTATGCAAATTGGTTAGCATTATAGCAACAAAAGAACTAATCAATTATTACTTAACTACTCTACAATTCTGACATAACCAACTAATAAAAATATTATTGCAATAAATTTAGATAACACCAAATAAACAGAAAAATAGATAATACCACTGAGGGATTTAACTTTATAATAGCCCCTAAAACATGCAAATGCATGATGAGTACTCTCAGAATGCATGAAAGGACATCTAAATACACACCTTGTAGAACATCAACATGTGCTATGCTTACAGAAATGATACACAGGGTGAAACCACTGTGGGATGGGGGGGGGGGGAATACAAGGATACACAGAGACAGTGACTACTCTAGGTCTCACACGTTAATTACACGGACGACATAAATGATTGTATCACTCGGTTAGGAGATATTTTCTAGCAGTCCTTAAAAACACATCTTAAGAGAAACCAATACAGGATGCCTACGACTCGTGCAAAATTGTACGACTAGGAATCATGTTATACAGTGAAGAACTTCATCCCAAATCTCCAAATGTGCAAGTGAATTTGGAATTACACAGAATGAGAATGGATTAACATGAATTAGTATGAATAATCAATGCTAAGTGTTGCATGTACCGCATTTTTTAAATGTAACTTACGCCCACAACACCCAACATTCTTGAGTTTTATAAACTTATATTTGTATAAGACATACAAGAGATATATATTTATGCATCATTGTACATCCCAAGCAATCTGGTCATCATGATGTGCTGAATTTGTGTCTGGAAAATGGAGGAAGTATACAATAGCAATGCCAAAACAGGTGTTCATGAGAGTGAGGAGTAGGGAAAATGGAGTTTGGAAATCTCTGGACCTTAATCCTTAATTTTCCTATACAGAATACCTTTAAGTATAATTTGTATGGTTGTTGCAGGAACAGTGTGCGAATATTAGGCTTCATACAGTATATATAATAATAATGTTTTCTCACAAACATAATAACATAGGATAAAAACCTACACTTCTGTATTTGATTATTTTATGTAAAGATTTACACCAAGTCTTTTGCACTCCAAGTGCTTTATCAAGGTCTGAGTATATGGTTAGGACAAGACTAGGGCTGCCATATCTGAACAGGCATAATCCAGGACACCTCTAATAACAGTCACCAAAATCCTCCATGCCCCTGCCCAATACATAATTTGGGCCTTTGGCGTGCACGTGTGTGTGTGTATATACTAGTGTATGTGTATATGTATATGTGTGTATATATATACACACACACAGTATATATATAGCTGAAAACCCCACACCCCAGAAGGATTCAAACCCAGATAGCCAGGAGCGCTATGCACCTTGGCATACCTGGTACCTTAACCACTAGACCATACAACTACAAAAATCTTGATAGTCGTGATATATTGGCTTAGGGACCAATATGCAACATCGTTGCATATTGGCTTAGGGACCATTGGGTGTTTTGGCACTTGTTGGGTTTTTGCCACTATTTTGTTGGGAGTTTGCCACTTTTCTGTTTGGCATTTGCCATTTTTCTGTTAGGCATTTGCCATTTTTCTGTTGGGTGTATGCCACTTTATATATATATAAAAAAAAAAAAAAAAAAAAAAAAAAATTGGAAACTTTTGGTTGGACAAATTTGCCCATTTTGGGTTGGGCACTTGCCAATTTTTGGTTGGGTATTTCTCATTTTTTTGTTGGTCATTTGCCACTTTTTAGTTGGGCATTTGTCACTTTTTTGTTGGGCTGTTGGCGCTTTTTTTTCCCGGATGCAATTTTTAACACTTTAATCCAGGACATGTCTTGGAAAATATGGATATATGGCAACTCTAGACAAAACTTGCATCTCAACAAGAGAGTCATTAAGATCTAATGTTCCTCCTAGCCATATACTCAGATCTTGATAAAGCACTCAGGAGTGCAAAAGACTTTGTGTAAATCTTTATATAAATACACAAATACATAAGTGTGAGTTTTTTCCTATTAGACTTGATGATGTTTACAGAGTGTTGGGCATGATAGTGTTGAATATTAGAATTAACACTGTATACATGGTACACTATTAGGTTTTCTAGTGTGAATACTGCATTAGGATTCTTGATGTGTAATGCTTTCCAGTATGAATGCTGCATTAGGTTTTTCATTGTTTAAGGCTTTCCAGTGTAAATATTAGGTTATACAGTGTATATACCTGTATAAGACTTTGTAGTATAAAGATTCAGCTTTAATGTGCAACATTAAGCATTATGTCATCTATTGTACTATATTAAGCTTTCCAGTGCGTATGTGGACAATAATACACTATTTACACATTGGATACTCAGATTAGCAAATTTGTTTTCCGTTTATCAGAATCAAGTTGTGAATTGGTCGATAGTATCTGTATGAGCCTAAATGAGGCTTTTGACAGTCCCACACAGGATTACTAACAGAGATGACAATGCTTCTGACAAAAATGAGGGCAGTGATTTGAGGAAATGTACCAGATTAGAAAAATGTTGAAAGTGGAGTACCAGATGGTTCAGTACTAGTACCAGTAATGTTCATTATCTATAAAAACATTCTGCCAGAGGGGCTTCAGAGTTACATGAATGTGTTTGCAGATGATGCTCAGCTACTAGAGCAAATAAATGATCTAGTTCATTGCATGCTCTTCAAAATGATGAGCAAAACTTAAAAAAAAAAAAGTTCCAAACATCTGCTTGGTTTCTCAATAATGATTTGAAAAATGAGAATATCAAATTACCAATACAGTAACTGCGCTATAAAATGTTACCAACATTCATTTTAAAACCTAAAAACATTATTTAATACAATACAGAAGGGAAATCACAATGATGTGATCTATGCATAAATCATTTGGAGCAATGCAGGGAATTAACCAGCAACTTGGTAAACACCAGCAGAGCGCCAACCCCTAGGCCATGACATGCTAAACGCTATTCAACCTGGGACCCTACTGAATCCAATAGGAATTCTGGGGTGAATGAGCCCAACAAAACTTTTACACATAACCTGCCTGCATTCTGGCTTGGGTAATGGTAATCTCCACCAAATGCTTCCTTCAAATTCTCATTGTGGTTTCCTATTTTTTTAATGTGTATTTGAAGGGAGTGTATGGTGGAGAACACTATTACTCATAACACAGAGCATGTGGGCCATTCGTAAAAACTGGGTTGGGCACTAACTCAGTGTCTCCAGAATTCCCAGTGGATTCAGTAGGATCCCAGGTTGAATAGCTTTTAACATGTCATGGTCTAGAGGTGTGATGCAAAGCTGGTGTTTATCGGAGTTGATGATTCAATCCCTGGATTGCTCCAAATGATTTTTGCAGTTTAATACAACACTGCTCCTATATTCTTAATATTTTGTAGCAAATCTAGCATGCATCTCACTAATCTTTCCAACAAATGTTTATTTAATGATAAAATTTGTAATATGTTAATATCATGCTCAATAGTTATTTCTCATATAAACTCAGGTGCAGGATAAATACACACAAGAAAATAAATCACTTAAGATTGGATGATTCTGAAAGGCTATTATACATAAACCTTACCAAGTAGCTCAAAGTGCTTATGATGACACTGAAGCACTGCTTCAACTTGCTAACCTTGCTAGACTGCAAAACAAGGCAATTAATTGGATGCATTAAAACTATCACTGGAGATTCCTTTCTTAATACTAATATCATACTTGACTGATGGCCCCCCCCTAAATGTTTTAAGTGTATCCATGCTCAAGAATACCCCTTGTCAAAATTCTCCACTTACAAAATATTAGCAGAGAATATCTCCAATACTTATCTGCTAAATTTGATACCATTGTTCTACATCAGTACACAATTCACTGAACATGCATTAAAAATCATGCACTGATGAGCAGACTATGGCTTTACCTGTCACGCCAGGAGATGTCCCTCCAGTAGTGTTACCCATGGGGGCCTGATGAAGGATGCAGGAAAAGGAATGGGGCAAGAGGACAGAGCTAATGAAATTAAGCAAAGTATCAATGAAAACAGAAAGAGTACACCAAGACAGAATTTCCCAAGTAAATTATAAACAAGGAGTTTTTTTTAAGATGAAGGAAACAAAAATAATCTGATAAATACCAGCCACTGTGTGAATGTTGAGTATATTTAAACTTACACAAGTCACTGCACCGTCCAAATTAACTCAAATGTGATCCAATTGAACCTTGTATCAACAGTACCTTCCATATTAAGTGAGGAACAAGAATTTAAATTAGCAATCTGAATTTTGTATGTTGAGAATACAGCTCACAATGATGTTCAGTAAACACACTAGAATATTCATCTAATACACAATGATATTAAATTACATGAACTGTGTCACACAACGATAATCAACTATCACACAAGGATGTTCAACTATCACAAGAGGGATGTTCAACTATCACACAAGGATGTTCAACTATCACAAGAGGGATGTTCAACTATCACACAAGGATGTTCAATTATCACACAAGGATGTTTAACTATCACACAACGATGTTCAACTATCCCAGAACTTGAGGTTTTAATGGGGTTGAACCCTTTAGTTAAGGATTCTCAACCCATCCCAGCTGTTTATTATTTTTTTGTTCAATTTGAGTTTTGACTCCCCTCATCATTAATTTGGAAGAACTAGTTACCCCCTTGTAACAAAGTGTCCAGTTATTCTGTTGCATCCGACACGTGCTGGAATATCTGCATTACTATACTGCAGACATGCCGGAGTTGCACTCCAATGTAAACAATCAGTAGCAAGAAATGCTTGCAGTG